CCCCCCCCTTTCTCTCTCTGCTGTCTATCCCCTTCCCTCCCTCTCTCTCTTTGTGCCGTCTATCTTTGGTTCGGGATCCCTGATGCGAATGTTGGGCGCGCAGGGTCCGAGGAGCGACGTGCGCGACGTGCAGGAACGCTGGATCGACGCGCGCGAGGAGTGGGACGCGTGGGAGCGCAAGGAGTGGCGCAAGGAGGGCGAGGCCGTGCGGGCGCAGCGGGAGGCGGAGGCGAAGAAAGAGGCGGAGGCGGAAGCGGAGGCGAAGAGTGGCGGTACCGTTAGGAGCGGGATACGGGAGAGGTAGTCTATTGGACACAAGGTCCGCGTCTTCCGGCTTGGAAAATATTCGGAGGTTTAGAGCTCACGGAGGTGAACCCGGCAGGTAAAGTAAGTATGTGCGAAGTGTACGTCTAGGTAGTAGGAGAAGGATATGGAATCGATCGGGGAAAAAAAAAAACAAGTTCACGCCGCGAAAGACGATCCACCGTCAATGAGATGCCATCGCGTCCTCTTCTTTCAAGCCATAGCCCAGAATGCTGTACAGACAGCCATCGTCTGACGAAGCCTCTCGATGTCTGTGGCCAGATGGCATACACACATATCCGACCCGTGACAGCGCCGACGCGTATTCCTACACTACGTCCCCCAATTCAAACCTGCACTGTTTTTTTTTTTTTCCACAAGCCCCGAGACCGCCCTCGTCCACATCGAGAGCTCGCCACCGCGCTCCCCCGCAGCCGTGCTCGAACTGCCCACGACGATCAGCGCGCGCCGGCGCCCGCGTCCCACGTGACGTTTCTAACCGGCGCGCTCTCGTCCTCCACGAACCCGGGCTCGCCGTGCGGGTTCCGCGCGCACGGTGCTGAACACCATCGTATCGCTCGTCCGCTCTCGTGGCCCTGGAAGCCGTTGATCGTCTCTGCCGGCACGGATGAGGGCAGCGCGGCAACGAGACGACCTGCCGAGAGTAAAGGAGGGGGGGGGAAGGACGGTGATGGAAAAGTTTCGACGCCTCAGACAGACCCCTCTCCTCTTCTCTCCCTTTGCGTTCGGGTTCCTTCTCGGCCTTACCCTTTTTTTTCCCCCCCTTGTCCTGGGCGCGTTGTTCGGGCTCTCCGGCGTGGCGCATCCGCGAGAGCTTTGACGATCGTTGTCGCGCCACGAGCTCGACCTGGGCCCTTGTGGCCACCGCCCATCATCTCTCTCCTCGGCCGTGGCAGTCGACGAAACGCGACTGGGACGACGACGACGCCATTCTCGCAGCTTCGCCGTGTGGCCTCGCCGGCGGCGTCCAGCGGTGTTCGCAGATGGCCTTTGGGCGGGAAAGCTGGGCGATCTGCGCCGGGAAACCGGTATTTGAACCTGCGAGATGGGTGCGGTGGTCAGGAATCGGGGATGGAAGCAGACGGTCCAGAGGCGGCTCTCGTGTAGCATGGTCTCCGCGTCATTACCTCCCCCTGGCCATTGGTGTGGGGCAGCTCGAGTAGCGAAACGCCATGCAGGAGGGCTTTTGACATTGGTCGCACCTGATTCATCCACTATGAAGTCACGGTCCTGAAAGCTCAGCGAGGCTAGACCGATCGTGGGCTGCAGCTGGACGCTGTGGTGGATGAGATCAGCGTGCTGTCGGATCGATTAAGGGTCGATAGGGCAACGCTCACTCGTCGCCCACGAGGACGGCTCTGCGACAGCCCCTTTACCAACGGGATCAGCGTGGTTGGTTCCGTGACCTTGCGATGCCTTATCCACGAGGGGCGATGTCGAAGTCGACGGATCGGAGCGTACCCAGTCCAGCGCCTGCGGATCGTTGTCCTGTCTTTCATGATCAGGATCAACTATCAGCAGGGGAAACCCTGCACGGACCTGCACACGTCGTGAAGACCACGACAGACTCCTTCACGCGCTTCTTGGCTTGCTCCAGTACGTAGCCTCGGGTTCGCGTTGGGGTCACCGCCTACACGGGCATCCACGGTAAAACTTTGAACCTCTTTGCTAACCTTGGAGTAATCTGTAGCGACACGGATCATGCGATCTGGAGGGAGTAGCTCCTTAGCCTCGTTGAGCTTGATGAAGCGCTCGACAATATCATCCACCGCTGAATAACGTCGTGTAAGGGGGAATTCGAAACTGAGATAAGGAAGAGCCAACCATCGTGCATGGACGCTGTCACCAACACCTTATAATTGTCCGTTAGCATGTTCTGCGCGATGCGCTCCCATTTCCTTTTTACCATGACCGTGGTCTTTCCGGTTCCTGACGTACATCGCAAGATTTGACGGCCGCAATTTGGCTTGGGTTGAATTCGGAGTCCCCGGCGTCAGTTACTGAGGATAAGCAAGACCTCTTGAAGGACGGCCGGGGCTCGCACGCATACAGATGTGAAGAACATGATATTGCAGAAGTCCTGAATGAAAAGGTCTCCAATCGTGCTCGTGATTTTCTCAAGACCCAAAACCTAGAGAGTCAGACAACGACACTCCGGCACGTCATCAGGAAAGACCACGCTTTGCGATACGTTGGCAGACTGTGTTGGTCTGCGAGCGCCTTCGCACATTGAGGAGGTAGCTAGGACTGTGATGAAGAATACGAGCTTCTCCAGGACGGATATACATAAGTTGGAGATGCAGCTCGCGATCATGGAGGAGCAGACTCGCGCGGAAACGAGAGGGAAGGAGACCGTCGCCCGCGGCGAAGCACAGTTCCTTTTGAGCGACCGGTGTGTTATAGATGCTCTTGTCTATACCATCTTAGCTGCGACGTCGGAAGAGGAGGCGAGCCGGCGATGGGAAATCGTCGTCAGTTCTGCGATGTTCCCCCACGCTTTGGCTTCCTATCAAGATGCAGTTGTCATCCTTTGTGCTCACCTCACTCTCTGTGAGCTTTAGACATTGGCCACAGATCTATCGCCTCCTGGATAGTACTCTGCTACAACATGGAAGAATTCCCTGTCAAGAAAGCCTACCGCTTCATCGAACCTGGCCCTGTAATTCTGATCACCACCCAACCTGAACCTCCAGGTTCTACGCCGAGTGGCAGCAAGCGCAAGAGAAGGCGCGCCAGCGTCACCCAGACGGACCGTGATATTGCTGGGGAGAGCGCGGACGATGCTGCCCAACATCCTCGGCCCAACATCATGACATGTGGCTTCCACATGGTCATCCAGCATGAGCCGCCGATACTCGGCGTTTGCGTCGGACCATGGGACGCGTCGTTTAAGACGCTCAAATCGACGAAGGAATGCGTCATCGCCATCCCTCCCGTCAAGCTCGCCGAGAAGGTTGTCGACATTGGTAACTGCTCGGGTTCCGATGTCGACAAGTTTTCGAAGTTTGGTTTCACCCCGCTCGAGGCGAAGAAGGTCAAAGCGCCGCTGATAGCGGAATGCATGGCAAATCTCGAATGCAAGGTCCGGGATGAGAGTATGGTGAAGAAGTACAATTTGTGGGTGTTAGACGTTGTCAAGGGATGGAAGAAGAAAGACGAGGGAGTCGACGGTGACAGGAGCGACGAGAAGATTTTCCACCACAGAGGGGACGGAACGTTCTCTGTGGATGGTGAAATCATTGACCTGCAGGAAAGGATGGTACTGTGGAAAGAATTCCAGGATTGATGCGTGATATGTCCTCTCGTTCTTCCGACGCGCATGCACCTCGAGCTAATCCCTGAGTGATAGTTCTTGTATTTGTACAGGTTCCTGTATGTGTACAGCGTATCTGTTGCCCACACCCTCTCTTATTCGACGACTGGTTGCTTTCCCATTCACGATAGCCGATAGAATCGTCAAGCTGGAGGATAGGCCCATCTACTTCTGACGAAGCGAAGCAAACCTCTCCTTGAACACCTTCGTCACGTACGGCTGTGTGCCAATGAGTCAGTGTGAAGGATACGGCGTCATTGACAAGACGACATGCCTCGTCCCAAGTCTTGATGAAGCTAGGTCTGGCCTTGAGATCCTGCACGTATTGATTGTAACGCGCGAACTGGGGCCCAGACAGGGCCTCGAGAACTTTTTTGCTCTCGCCCTCCGGATAGGCTCCGAGATCGTTGTCCAACACCACGCTCAGACGGGCAAGGAACTGCAAGATATCTCGTCATCAGAGAACTCTCCGAAACGAGATTTTGAACAAAGCCTCACAGGTAAGATTGCGATATCAGCGGCGGTGAAGTCATCCCCAACTGCGTATTTCTTGTCTTGAGGGAGAAGAGACTGGATCGCCTCGATCCCCTTCAGGAACGACTCGTACGACTCGCCCTTGCGAAGCCAGGCGTTGTACGCCGGCAGGAGCTTGTTGGATACTGCGTCGATGAAAAACCGCGCTTTGGCCCGAAGGACAGGATCCGAGGGCAGACTGCCGGACTGTGGGTACAGGTCCGCGACGAACTCAACCAGGATCAGCGACTCGGCGAGCTTCACCGACTCGGGCGATGGCTGGTCTGCGGGGACCTTCGGTCCTCCATAGGCTATAGCGGGTACCTGCCCGAGGAGGACAAGGTGATCAGCGAACGTGCATTCCAGCAGCTCGTGACGACATACCTTGCTGGCCGGGTTGACCTTGGGCGCGTACCATTCCGGCTTGTTCTGCAGATCAATCTCGTATCGTTCGTACTCCGCACCGGCTTCTTCGAGGGCGATCTCAGTCTATGAGACGCCGTCAGCGTTTAAGCTTTCATACGGAATGCGTACCGAACGATGACGCTCCTCGTGGGGGCACTCCCGCGCTTGCAGGCTGCTCGCATGAGGGGGGCCGTCATCGGTCGCACATGCACGCCTACCCTGTGTGCGTATGGACAGATCTACAGTTATGCAGTACGCCACAGGGGTGACACTTGAAGTCAGTTTCCATATCTTATAGATCAAAGGGCCTGAGGTGCGTTACCTTTGCGGTATAGAGGGTGATATGTTCAGGCATGATGTTCTCTAACGGGCTGGAAGGGTGGAGGACGCGAGTACGACTCAAAGGGATGCGCAGCTCGATGAATAAGGGGCGCGGGCTCACAGCTTTATAGTCGTGAGCCAGCGGCAAGCTATCTTTGTGGTATTCTCTCACCGCGGCATCGTCATTTTGACTTCAGAACACGCAACTGGACACCGGCAGATGGGTCGCGAGCTCTACCGCGACGGGATTAGTCAGTGCGTGATGACGCTTATAGAGCTCCAGCAGCCCTCAGAGCCATGGATAGATAACAGATCGAACCTTGGATCATCGCATTGCTGAATCTTGATCTACGGCCAGACTCTATTCCGCTTCCCCCACGAGCAAGTGCTTGGGGAAGCGGATGATGCAGAGTATGGTTTCCTTGTATTCCATATTTGCACGCGAGTGTCCCTACAAGTTGGGTCATGGGTCATGGAGAATTCGGACTGCATGTTTCTGAAGCAGATCGCAGTATATGTCGAGAACAAGCAGTCCTCATGCTAGCATTTGGAAAAGACTTTGAATGCAATGACGAACTACTAACTTCGAACGTGAGCTACGCAACGCGTGATATGCTAAGGTTTCATATGGACGGCCGATGGCACAGAGGGTTCACCGAAGCGTTTTGAACCGGATTACCTGGACAGTGGTGTGACGATGCTTCGACAGGGACACTCCACGCGGTCCTCGTCGTGCGCCGTCGAACCATCCACCTTGGAACAAGAAAACCAGATACGACCGCGCAAAAATCGATTGGGATACTCACCATTTCACTGCGTTCCAATCTTACATTCATTGTGTACATCTTGTACTGTTCGAGGGCCTGACGCGTCATTCTTCAGGCCTGGGGCAGACAACAATCGATCGCATCTGCAAGGAAAGGTCATCGACAGCTCCAATTCTTGCTCGGTAATCATAGTGCAAACACACGCTGAGAGAACCACACACCACATGTGCGTACCGTCACACTCAGAGGTCACCACATCCCTTGAAGCGTCATCGCTGTGAGTGACATCATGCTTGCGGTCGTCAGGCCATGAAACGCGAACGGATCCACCTCTTCGTGACCATTTCATCTAGCGTGGATGCCTCATGATATTTCGTGCAACCTCACCAGGGTCGCTACTGGGAATGCGGCATGCTTCAGGACGTCGAGGACCAATATATTCTGGACAATGCGCACGATAACCAGAATATCGCGTCCATACGCCAATGTGAAGTCCGCGACCGAAGTGCGCCTCTGGTTTGGAAGTCACAGAAGATCCACAGCGAAATCAAGACATAATGATGCGCGCAAGTTCCTGAACGCCAACGTGATGCCTTCGTCGGAGCGACAGCTCCGTCGATCGCGGAGCCCCAAGCTGCAAGTCGTCCGGCAGGGTCGCCTGGGTTCTCCAAGGGCGGAGAAGTGCGAGCGGCACGAGGTGCTGGGACATCCCATGTTGAAACGCCGAGCTTGCGCTTGGGGTGACATTTGACCTTATCTACGCGGGTGGAGATCCACGCGCTGGCCTGGGGTCTGAAGTGGGGCCCCGATGAGTGGTCGTCAAAATCTTCGGCAGCGGTCGCAGAACGTAAGGAGACGGGATGAGGAAATTGTGAAGTACCGAGGGTAGATGTATGTCATAAGTCGTACACAATTTATAGTAGCTGTAGATTGAAGCGCTCACCGTTGCGTTCGGACCGGATAGCAAGGGAGGGTTAGCCGGGTCAGGCCTCCCAGCACCGTGCCGCAGAGGCAGTGGCAACGCAGGATTTACCCAGACCATACCGCCAGGATCCGCATTTCGCACCAAATGAAATCAAGGTATTCAAGATCCGACAAAGGATGCTGCTGCCGCCTGGTTAGCTCATGCCAATTTCGCCAGTGGTCGGACTGAGATTTATATGAAAGCACAGTAACAAAGGAGGTATATGCCTCGTATGGTGTTCTTGTATCGCCTGGTTGTACAGATTATCAGAGGATATATGGTCCAGAGACCGACGTTGCAGACGGAGACATGTCATCGACGGGGTATGGCCAGCAAGGTGGTGGGAGGATGAGAGCCTCGTGTCGTGCACATTGCACGCTTCTGCCTCCGCAACCACGCCTTCACGTCAACCTTGTCCTCTGCTTTGCCACTGGCCCTCAAGCAGCACGCACCCGCTCGGGGCAAAGTTGCCTAAGCGGTTCACCGACCTATCGCTCATCTCCCAGGGCGACCCTCCTTCGTTCGAGCCAACGTGTATCACATTCTGTCCACTCAGGCATCGGCTCATGCCCCATTCATTCGCTCTGGACCATTCGGATTATGATGTAGCAACGCCCTTCTTGGGCTGAGCTCGTGCATACGGCATTTTCGGCGGCCTATTGGTCCGATGCAAGCTTATAACCTGGTGCTCCTGCGAGGTTGAGACCTCGCAACTTCATGTTCCTTTGGCTCCTCCAGTCCGTCGACGGTTGATCACGATGTCCAAAATTCATTCGTCCACGCAACAGGTCAGTTCAGCCACACGGCTATGTCTTTCCGATGAATCCCGGTCCCTGACGGATTGTGTCCAGCAGATGTTCCCAGGTCAGGGTTGGTCTGTCTACACCACGGGCGCTGGCACCTATTCTTCGTACACGCCATCCCAAAACCACCCCGGGTCCGCTTCGAGCGACCCTCGCCAGATGGCGCAAAACGCGCACTATGCCGCATCTTCGTCCACTATGAACCCCCTCCGTGATGGGCACCGGGTGCCCCGCGGTTACAGTATGGTCGCAGTCGACCCGAATCGCTCTTATGCGTACAGGGACTCCGTATTTTCGCAAACCGACAGCTTCACCGCGTCCTCCTTCCTCAGTACCGACAGTTTTCAGAGCGACGAAGAAAGCTCCCCGGATACACCCTCCGGCGGGACACCCCCTACTCCGATCAGCCACCCCGTTCCGTTGCCCCCAGCCTCGGAAGCCGAGAGCGACACCACCCTCCGAGGCGACGAAGGCTCCATGCAGCCTCACTCGTCCAACCGTTACGGCATGATCATTCCCGACCAAACCCGAGTGTTCATCGCCAGATCAGCTGGGGACGATGGCTCTTCTTACGCTCGAGGACCGCTTCTCGAGCGCCAGCTCTCGAATGCAGGTCCATCCCGACCATCCCCACCTCGTTTCAACTTCCCGCCTATGGCCCCCTCGTCCATCATGCATCGCACCCTCTCAAAATCGAGGGACACCTCGCCGCCCCGCGCGCGGCCCACTATGGTCCCCGTCCGTAGAGGATCGGCGGACGAAAATGATATACACCCCCGTCCTTCTCTGCCATCGCGCTCTAATTCAGCGCCCCCTAATGTCCTTCGCAAGCTGCCTCCGGGTCGGCGCGAGGGAGCTGGAAACCAGTTTGTCGTAGTGCCTCCTATGCCACCGATGACTGAGCCTCCGCGCCGCCCCTTGCCCACCGTCCCTCAACAGTCCTCCATGCCGGCCTCCATGCCCGGCAGGGAACGCCGACCATCTCTTTCGGGCCCATCCCCGAACACCTTGCCTATGCCTAATGCACCAGGCGCTCCGGTCTCTGTCCCCGGAAGAGAACGACGTCCATCCGTTTCGGGTCCCGCCCCTAATCCCATGCCTATGCCTAACGCACAAGGCGTCCCCGTATCTATTCCTGGCCGCGAGAGGCGGCCCTCGTTTTCTATGCCCACCCCGCCAATTGCCGTTCCTCCTCCCCAGGGATCCGTCGTGAACGTCCCACCGAGGGAACGCAGACCCTCATTCTCGAACGGCCGGCCGGAGGCTCAGCGCCACCTCTCCGATACGGCTGTCGAGATCACGCAGCAGCAACGTGTCCTGGACGCCGCCGCCGCCCAGCGCCCTGAGACTCGGAGGAGTCAGTCCGACCCCTTACCCGTTGGTGCTGCGTACCACGGCCAAGCGCACAGTGCCGCAGCCGGGCGCTCTGTGCGCTGGAAGGAGGAGCTGATATGTCCCTCGCCGCTTCTGCACCAGCGCAGGAAGGGCTGGTGGAACAAGCGCGGTGACCAGCTGTGGACGAATGACGGAGGCTACCGCGGCCCGCTCCCCGGCGAGGAGTACCCACTCGACTTAGCCGAGTACCCCGATGTTGGCGAAGGGTGGATGAACGAGGACGGCATGCGAATCGACATGTCGCATCGCCTTATCCCGAAGCTGCCTGCTCGTTCCGCATTGAAGCGCAGGGCGTGAGCCATATTCCATCACGATATTCAATGTTCTGTTCTCTATTGAGTAAGATCGCATTCATTATTTATTCTGCATTCACCTATTTATTTCAACCACCACGCACGGACTGGCCTCACCTGATGTATCATACATTGTATCGTCACAACTGTACTTACATATTCAAATCAAGCAATCACACACGTTCAATCAGATGATAGTAGTATTACATCTTCATCACTTGCAAGCACACCCTTACGGTGTTTTTGATGAGGAGAAGACCCTGAGCTACGACGTGGCCTAGGCCTCTTCGCGGGAGGTTCAGCAGTAACAGTCATGGACCAGTCCCCATCTCCTGCATCATCGCTGTCGGGCGCACTGACGGGGTCGTATTCGTCATCGTCATCCGCATCGTCGACGAACATCTGGTGAAAATGGTGCGACTTGGCCATCCCTCGGGGCATTGGGTCAGCGCGACTACGCTTCCTCTTGGAAACATCGGCTACTGCATCGTGAACATGATCATCGCCCGTGGCATGGTTCGCCGTCGATTTCGACACTTTGTTCATTTTGCGCGCTCCCGCAGTACGTGCTTTGCCGTGCTTGAGGAAGGAGCACTCCAGGCGAGGCCCTTTCCCGTTTTCGACGTCAGCCGAGGACAACCTCGTGAGCCGAATGGCGTCAGGAGCTGGGCTGATATACACGTTTGTGGTGTAAGAGGTCGCACTGAACGTCTGATCCAGGTATCTGGCGAGCAGTAATTCAACGATCAGAGTCTCGGTGTCCTGAGAAGAGGTCAGCTATTCTTCAGTGATGAAGATGAGATTTGCACGTACATCCTTTGACAGGGAGACTTTGCCCCCTGCGACAGCGTCGAGGTCCAGACCTGCCTTCTCCTTCGCCTTCAGCTTCCCTCTCCTTCCTCCTCCGCCTTGAACAACGCCGAAAGACCCACCCCCAGCTCCACGTACCAAGTCGCCTACGGATCAAAGTCAGCCCAATTCTTTCTTGGAGCGATCACGGCCCGGGACTCACCCATCATGCTGAACGTCACGCGTCCATCCTCCTTCACTATCGCCTGAGCGACTTTGAGAATCTTCCAGGCTTCCATAGTCACATCTCTCCGATCGACGTCCTCCGGAGGACGGGTGCAATTATCACAGTGACCGCATCTTTGGAGGACCGACGACCCGCCTTCCTGCCATTCGCTGAGCGAGAGCTGCGATGACGCAGAAAAGTGTCTACCAGGGGAAAGGGGGGCGAATCAGTTTCGCAGGAAACTTCGTCAAAGCCAATGGCTCACTTCGCAAAGAGGATCTTGCGGCACTCTTCTACATCGTGCGCGAAACGAAGCATCTGTGATACTTTCCATGGGCACGGTTCATACGTGGAAAATGTGATAGACTAGGAGAATACCCACATTTGTCCAGACCGTCTCGCTGGCCGTACACCAGAGCGCTGAGACTGCTAGCATCCTGGGGTCGATAGTATAGGACGCAGGATGCGTCTTTGCCGTCACGACCTGCTCTCCCGGTTTCTTGATAGTACCCGTCAAGGGATTTCTGGGAACGTCATGAGCATTCAGCACCTCTAGCAAAACCACAAGGGTCACTGACAGACATCTATTGAGCGGGCTGTGAAGTAAGCGCGGACCGCCTGTTGTGATGGATTTGCCACTCACGGAGTGGTGGAGGACGAATCGGACGTCGCCCTTGTCTATCATGCAGTTGGATTAGTGATGCAGATGGGCAGGATATAGCGAATGTACCTATTCCTAGGCCAAAGGCTAGGAATTTCAGGCTCAGTTGCCATATCACAGTTTACCATGATACGTCGCTAACCTATGGTAGCACAGACAATCTTGATCTCGCCCTTCCTCCACCGCGTATGCAGCTGTTCCTTGGCGGTATCGCCGATATCGGCGTGATAAACACCCGTCTTGATTCGACTATCGCTATGTTCGCGCAGGCCGGCCGCAACATCTTCCGTATCCTGGTTTGTCGTCATCATTGACTACAGCGGATAGCGAGGGAAAGTTAGCAACCGACCTTTTTCCGGTAGCAGTATACAATCCCGCTCTGATCTGCGTGGTTTGTGAGAATGTACTGGGCCATGACCTTGAGCACATCCTTGGAGGCGGCCGGTTTGGGTAAGACCTTGTAGTGTAGGTTCTTGCGGTAGAGCGGCGCAGAGAAGTACACGGTCCCCTTCTTGGAACTGATGCTACCTATAGTTGCGCCTTCAGCCTCTGATCAGGGTCAAAGCTGGAGAAGATCCCCTTACCTCCGCATTGGATCACCGGATCCAGCCGGAGGATGTGAAGGATACTGTTCCGAACCTTGGGTGGGCAGGTGGCGGATAGACAGAGTATGGGTACCCGAGGGAAGAGAACGCGGATCTTCGATAACTCTTTGTAGTCCGGCCTACGTAAGAGGTGTGTCATCCTGGGCGGGTCTGTCTGGAGGCCCATCATTGAAGTAGGCGCACCTGAAATCGTGACCCAATTCGGAGACGCAATGTGCTTCATCAATCACGACCCGTGCTATCCAAGCACTCAGTTCCGTGACATACAACCCTCGAGGGATCGAATGTCCTCACTCAATCTGCCCTGTTCGTCCATCCTCTGAAGAACACTCATGAACGCCTTACTCTTTGATAGTTTCTCTGGCTGTCCCGATCGTGAGCGGGCATTACGCAAAACACGCTGTAGTGGCACTCACAGTAACATAGCACAACTTGATTTCGCCGCGTTGGCTGTCGATCGGTCCGGTGAGGCGGGAATATATGTCCTTGATTTCCGTTTTGGATGTGCTGCCCGTCATCATTACGGCTTGCACTGGTGCCGGATTCGAGGTATCAGCACAGGCTGCACGTAGAACGCGAGAGGAGGGTACCTCCTGCCTCGTGCAAATGCATGATCTGGTCCGTGATGAGCGATATTAAGGGTGAGATGACGAGCGTGGTGCCCGGCAAAAGCTGCGCGGGGAGTTGGTACGTCAAGCTCTTCCCTCCACCTGCATGGCCAGTTAACTCCATGCGAGGAACATCGAGAGGTGTTCGCACTCACCCGTGGGCATAACACAGATAATATCCCGTCCGTCCATATTCGCGTTGCAAACACTGGGTTTGGTGCTTCAATGGGACGGGACGGACGAAAGACATAGATGCGTACGCTTCCTGGCACAGGCGAAAGTCGTCAATCCCGAACACCTTTTTCATAGCCCTCCGCAGCTGCGGGGTCCAATCCCAATCGCTCGAGGCGTAGTCAATGGTGGTGGACGAGGTTGCCTTCGCGTCCGAAATTCCATTGTGAGACGCGTTCGCGCTGGGTCGGAAAGAGTCTGACTGCAGAGATTCATACTCTTTCAGTTTATTCTCGCGCTGTGTCACGATGGTGCCTCGAGTGGCCTTGAGTTGCGCGATCTGCGCGTCGATTTCGCGGAGCTCCGAGTCCAACTTGTTGATCTCCGTTTTCAGGGCGTGTTTCTGGTTGAAGGACAGATTGGACTCTCGAAAGCCGGATAGATTGGAGGGTCCTGCGCGGGAGGCGCGCGGGTGGAGGATGCCATGTTCTATGGCTGACATGCGAAGAACCTCCTCCATCTTTTGCTACGCGTTAGTCTTGTTCAACAATGGTAAAGGAAGAGCAGAACGCACATCGTCTGAGCCAACATGATCCGATGAGTAGCTTTTGAACGACGACATCTCGGACAATATTCATACAACAGCTATGAACGTCAATAATGTGTGGTGCGGGATTCCGAAGGCCACGACGCGTCACGCGATGACTCTGAGAGGGCACAACGCGTCTGTCACGCAGACAATCCTTTCCTCTACGCAATTTGTCACGTCACGCCTAAGTAGTTTGACCTCGACTTTTCCTACGCATTCGTCTACCACAACTATGAACGCTACTCTCACTAGGGCAGCTGTTGATTTTGTGCTAACCGATGTGTGGACGAACTTCTTCGCTTGGAAACGCGACTATGCTCGGGCGAAGCTCGCGTCTCTGGCGGAAGCGCCGCCACCTACTACACGCTCAGTTGGGGGCACTCCAGATAAACCTCAACCTCTTGCCGTCGATGGATTTATCTCGATCTCGATGCGCTCTCCATCTCTGTACTACGACGATTTACTTTCAACTTCCGCAACACTCGAACCGATAATTATACCCCTCCCGGAATCCTCCCTGGAACCCTATCCAGAATACGAATGCATTGCGCCTATAGCACGGAGCATATACGTCGGCGACGACAGTGATGATATGCCCTTCATCCCTTTCTCAGGTATATACAGCGTCTTTACTTCTCTCAGAGGAGAAGAAACGAGACCCAGACCCTGTTCGCGTATTATCATGTACAGACGATCCGACGTTCGACCATGGTCAGCACATGACTGCCTACTCCAGTTTATCTTGGCAAGGCTCTTTATCAACCCATCAACCTACTCGTAGGTATCTAATACCGTAGCTGGAGTATACCCGTTGATGCCATTTGCTGTGCAGTGGACCTGATTGCCGCTGTGACTATATACAGACTCCGAAGGGACCTTAACATCACCCTTGAGGAAATAAAGATAAACGGCGCACTGCCGCCAATATTATCCCTCAGTCGCTCTGCGATGCGGCGGTATGCTTTCAAACTTCTCGTTAGATGCATCTGAACTCGTTCCCAAACTCAGGGATTTTCCGCCGTGGCCTGCCATACAGGAAGTTATCCGCGACCCAGCCTTCCCGTCCTTTCTCTATACGAAGCCAACCCCAGGAAACGACTTCACCATGAGACTCGAAGCTCTGAATGCAAAGTTTTGCCCGAATTTGAGCTGCATCGAAACACATTGCACTCTCCATGGCGAGTAACCTTTAGGTGACGGTGTCAATGTCTGACCTTCCGCCTGTATTGACAGATTACTGGAATAAGCCTCCGCAGCCCATTCTCGCGAGGGTGAAGGCTCAGGACACACCGTGCAGCCCTGACTGCCACTTGATACGAGGATGCACGGAGAGCGCTCCGAACATTGTAGCGCACGCAGATCCAAGTACATTGGACGATATACGGGCGATTACACGTTTGGTTCCTACCATCTCGTCGTGTGATCTAGCTGCGCTGGTCCGTTTGCCTTGCTATCAGGTATACACTGCTCAATGTGCACCCGCGTAAATACGAACTGTTGATAGGCTTTCAAGCTACGGGAACAGGAAATGGGCCAGAACGTGCAGAACCTATTGAACATGCTGACGAAGATCGCCGATGCCAGTTCATCGGAAACGTTGCCCGCCTTTAGCGAAGCACCCACCTTTGCAGCTAAGGACCCCTCAAAGTTTGTTCCGTGCGTGCGCTCTATGGATCACTTCGTCCTTGGTCTGCGCTCTGACGTACAAAACCCCACTCACTCAGCAACGAGCCATGCTATCACGACGGACCATGCACCACAAACACGTTGTGCGTCTGTTCTCAAAACTTGGCGCACTGCGAGCGAAACTGCCGGTGTTCTTCGACATGTGCGCAGGACTGTTGACGGCATGCAGCCGATATGATCTCATGCTGGCTCCAGGCGAACGCAGGTTTCGCGGTTGCGACTGTGTGGATACGAAGCAGAACAACGGGAGATGCGCGAATTCTAGGTGCCCGTGCGTCGAAGCTGGTCGTGAATGCGACCCCGAAATATGCGGCAGTTGCCAATCACGGTACGCTGTCCTTTTGGTTTTGTGGCTCGCCTGTCGCTAAACGAAAAGCGTAGCGGCATGTTGTGTGAAATTGTGTCCGAACGGCATCCATTGATGTTTCCGTAGATGCGGAGCTCGGCTCCTGCAAAAACTCCCAAATTCAGAGAGGCAGCAGCAAGGTGAGATACTGACACGTTTCCGGTAGTTCGCTCAACATACCACAGAATACTACTGTTCGGCCCGGCATGTCTGGCCTCGGGCTCTTCTTGGAGGAAGCAGTGATAGAGGGTGACCTCATTACTGGCGAGTAACCGATTTAACACATAAGCTACCTCTACTTACATACTCGTAGAGTACGTTGGAGAGCTCATTGCCGAGGCGACGGTTGATAGCCGCGAGTACGTCTCAACCTACCATATCATGTCGAGGAAATGTTAAATCGGGTTCAATCCAGCGACGTGGCAACCCACCGCGGCCGCGGGTACGTGTTTGGGATGAACGCTGAATACTCGGTGGACGCTTCGTACGCGGGAAATGCAGCGAGGTTTATCAATCACGCCCCAAAATCGAAAGCGAACTGTGTAGCGCAAGGTACGATTCCTCTCCCCACGCCCTCTCCTGGTAACTAAAGGTACGAGTTGATAGTGAAACTGGTCAACGGAGACCATCGCATCGGCATATACGCCAGTGAGTGCATATGGTTTCTCCCGTTGTCCGAAAATAGACGGGTGCTTTCGTTACAGCGCACAAGATGGCTGCCGGTAGAGAGTTGTTGCTAGATTACGGGCCCGAGTTCTTCGTTCACGCCAAGCATCGCAGTTACAAGAGATAAAGTAGCATAGACCGGGTACATATATGCCATATGGTTGAACTTGCTATATGCCATGATTTGCAGATCCAGGCAACTTCGAGGCGATAGGGAGGCGCGGAGTCTCCCTTTGAGCTCCGCTTCAGACCCCGGCGACGCGCAAATGTTGGTTGCGCGCGTGATCAGAGACTTGGCTGGAACCTCGACTGCTGCCATCGCAGGCGCGTTCCTTTGTTCAAGTTGTGAAAGTTCTCAACGGTACCAACGTACTTACTCCTGGAGGAAAAGGTGCCAGCGGGATGTATGTCGCCCGGCAGGAGGTCCTGTCACCGAGTGGCGTGGAGTTTGCCACAAGCCTCAACCTTACACCGTCAACGACTTGGACCAGAGGTTCCGATGCTACGCCCAACGACTTCGTTTCGCGCGTCTTGACCAACTTGGTGGTCGCTCGCTCCCACTTTTTGCGTGTGTTCGAAGTGTGGCAAGAGCTAGCGCCTGCCTCCTCCGAGGTGGACCATGAAAGGGAGAAAAGAGCGAAGGTTCGAAAAGGAACGGAAGCTGTCGAAGGAGAGGTTGCGATGGACGAGGATGGGGAGGGGTTTATCAACGTCGGACAAGTCAAGGTGACTGGAGAAGCCCTTTGTATCGATTGCAGCTACGCTTGTTGTCTTAGCGAGCAATCTATCGTACGTTCAACGTAATACTGATTGTGACCTCTGCTGTATACAGTCCATCGGCGAGAGTGGCATTCCCAAAGCGAATACTGTTGCCCGTCTGCGACTTGTACGCGAGCATCGCCTACATGGCATGGTGACTGGCCTCGGTCGCATCAAGATTCTATCCTCGCTTAATGACGGCTTGGATCGTCTGCTCATATCGTTCGAGGACGCCAAGGTTCGTATATGCGCTGAGGATGACATCGACGACTAAACGCAATTCTCACAGATTGCTGTCCTCGAATGGTCGGAAGAACAACACGACCTGCTCACGGTCTCCATCCACACCTATGAACGGGCTCCCCAGTTGGTTCGTAGTCATCCCATTCTTGGCACGCTTAGTCGCTGACGCCGCAACCCGCCAACCAGATGTCGTTGAATGCGTCCCTGTTCCATGGGTGGCTTCGGGTTGATCCTATATCGCGATGCGCTGCTCTGGCTTTACCTTGCGACGCTTTCGCCATCATTCCCTTTCACCAGACTCTCGAGTATGAAGAGACTCAGTTACGGTGCGTATCCTCCTCTTTCAGCATATGACCCAGCTCATCTAAGGATGAACGGAACAATAGGGAAGCTCCATACGCCCCAAGTTTTATCCTGGATCTTACTTCCGAAGTTGATCAGCGCATTCACAACGTGGTCGATATGAGTTTCCTCCCCGGATTCAACAACCCAACGGTCGCTGTTCTCTTTCAACCTACCCAAACGTGGACAGGGTACGTGCACTCGCTTCCAGAACACAATTTTCTGGCTGAGTCCCCTTTCAGGCGTCTGACAGAGTACAAAGACACGATGAAGCTCCTAGTTTTCACGTTGGATGCCGTCACTCGCAACTACCCGGTCATCACCTCTGTCGACAACCTCCCCTACGACTGTCTCTCCGTGCATGCCTGTTCGGCTGCTGTTGGCGGCGTCATCGTGATCACATCCAACTCCATCATCCACGTCTCACAGAGCTCCCGCAGAGTTGCCCTTTCTGTCAACGGTTGGGCCTCCAGGGTCACCGACATGTCGTTGGCACCCGTACAGGCTGAATATGCCACCCGAAATCTAGCTCTAGAAGGATCGAGGCTGGCGTTTGTGGACGACAGGACGTTTTTCTTATTTCTCAAGGATGGGACTGTGTACCCTGTGGAGCTATCGCTGGATGGTGCGGTGGTTTCGACGATATCTATGGGCCACGCGCTAGCGCAATCGGCGATACCGGCTGTCGTTACACCGGTCACCCAAGAGCATATATTCGTTGGCAGCACTGCAGGTACATCCGTCCTACTCAAGATTACGTCCGTTGAGGAAGAAGTCGAGGACAACGCGAGCGATGCTGTTGCCGCAGCCGTGGTGGACACTGCAGACAGTATGGTCATGGACGATGATGATGGTGCGCGTTCTCGACTTCGTTATAGATTTCGATGTGCTCAGTTTGAGACCCTAGATATCTACGGTGTCTCGATGAAAACGGATGCCCAATCCCTCAGTAATGGGCACGCCAATGGGACGCATCTTTCCGTCAAGAAACGTTCCGTGACTCACCTTTCTCTCAGCGATTCATTACCTGGATATGGTTCAATCTCGGACATGTCGTTTTCGCTGGCTAAGAACGGCGTAAGATAGAGATTACCTCGTGTAAGCCTCTTGCTGACCACGTTTCATAGGAAAAAGTTGTTCCGGAGCTCGTCGCTGCTACCGGAAGCGGCTCCATGGGAGGATTCACGCTGTTCCAGGTACGCTGCAGTGGGCAAATGTGTTCTGCAACGTCTCCTGACACGAGAGGTCCCTTAGCGTGATCTTCCCGCGCGTACCAAACGCAAACTCCACGCGATTGGTGGTGGTCGTGGAATGTGGTCCCTCTCCCTCAGGCCAACCGTAAAAGTCAATGGGACGTCTTACGAGCGCGCTGTGAACCCATTCCAGGCGGACAATGACACCGTCGTCGTTAGCACGGATGCAAATCCTGCCCCAGGACTGTCTAGAGTTCGTGCCCTGCGCTTACATCTAACACAACGCTCATTTCGTCTCATAGTTCTCGCACCGGACACCAAGGACAGAAATATCGATAACCACTCGAGTTCCTGGACAGACCATTGGTGCCGCTCCTTTCTTCCAGAGGACAGCGATCCTACACGTTATGTCCAATGCCATACGCGTTCTTGAACCAGGTCGGTTCCTCATTTCTCACCTTTGCATGTTGCTAATGACTATGTAGACGGGAGCGAAAGACAGGTTATCAAGGACCTGGATGGCAACATGGCGCGGCCCAAAATCCGGCACTGCAGCATTTGTGACCCATTCGTGTTGATCGTCCGTGAGGACGATACGATCGGTCTTTTCATCGGCGAGAGCGAGCGAGGAAAGATTCGTCGGAAGGACATGTCCCCCATGGGCGATAAGGTCAGGCTTCATCATGACCACCAGACAGCAGCTGACCCTTCCTTCTCAGACTTCCCGCTATCTCACGGGTTGCTTTTTCACGGACAACGCCGGGGTCTTTGACCTTCGATCTCAGGCGAATGGCAATTCTGGAGCAGACAAAACCGCAACCTCCACTCTCCAAGGAGTCGTCAATGCTGACAGCCGGAGCCAATGGTTGCTACTGGTGCGCCCTCAAGGCGTACTTGAGGCCAGTGATCTTTCACCTATTCCAGGATGTCGTAGACTGAACGAAAAGCAGATATGGACTCTACCCAAGCTGTCCATCGTGTTTTCCGTTCGCTTAGCTTCAACGCTTGATTGGGTCCTCGCGGATTCTGGAGACGGGCCTGCGTTGTCGATGCCTGGGGAATCGCCTCGGCGACCCCAAGAGCTCGACGTGGAGCAGGCTGTTATTGCCCCTCTTGGAGAAACTGCGCCGCAACCTCATCTTCTGGTAGGTGCGAATGGATGGCATGCACGCGTAATGTCTAACGTACCCGAAGTTGTTCCTCCGTTCAGGACAACTCGCCATCTATCAAGCCATCCCGATGCAAGCATCATCTGTAGACGAGTCGCTGTCTCGTCCCAGCCTTGGTGTTCGGTTCGCAAAAGTGGCTACCCGCGTCTTCGAAATACAGCGTCAAGATGATTCGGAGAAGTCGATTCTTGCCGAGCAAAAGAAGATATCCAGAGTGTTAATACCCTTTTTGACGTCGCCATCGCCGACAACTACTTTTTCAGGCGTCTTCTTCACCGGTGATCACCCATGCTGGATACTGAAACCTGATCGCTCAGGAATTAGGATACATCCTTCCGGACACTCTGTGGTGCACGCGTTCACATCCTGTTCGCTATGGGAATCAAAGGGCGATTTTCTCCTGTACTCAGATGAGGTTCGATGCCATGCCAATCTCCTATTGCGTGGCTCTCATGACGAAAACGGATAGGGCCCGAGCCTGTTGGAGTGGATGCCAGACACAGATGTCGAAACAGAGCTACCTTCCAGATCAATTCCTCAACCAAGATCGTACTCTAAGGTTACGTTTGATGCATCTACGGGGCTCATTGTAGCTGCGGCCCATCTTGAAGCTGAGTTCGCCACGTATGATGAAGACAACAATATCGTCTGGGAGCCCGACTGTGAGCAGCGATGCTTCTTGCCAGATAGTTCCTTATCGCTTTTCCCTAGCTGCCAACGTCAGTTTCCCTCGCAGTTCTTGCTCAACCCTGGAACTCATCTCCCCGGATGAATGGATCACGATGGACGGGTCAGCCGATGATCTCTCATCCATAACGGGCGTATTACTGATCACACGAAGCAGGTTCGAATTCGCCAACAACGAATTCGTAACCTCGGTTGAATCTGTGCCACTCGAAACATCAAGTACCGAGAGCGGTAGCAAGGATTTTATAGCAGTAGGCACCACCATTGACCGCGGTGAAGATCTTGCTGTTCGAGGAACGGTACGCCAATGTCTTTCAGCGGTCACAGATAGCTCATAAACAGATATAGACCTACGTCTTCGAGATTGTGGAGGTAGTTCCTCCAGAAAACTCGTCGTTGTCACGATGGTGGAAGCTACGGCTGAGATGCCGTGATGACGCCAAGGGACCCGTTACTGCGCTCTGTGCTATGGACGGCTATCTGGTGTCTTCCATGGGTCAAAAGGTTTGCATGCGTTTTCCATAAGATGGACGGACTTCGTTCAAATGCCGCGTCTACAGATCTTCGTCCGAGCATTCGATATGGACGAGCGCCTCGTTGGAGTCGCATTTCTGGATGTTGGCGTCTACGTGACCACATTGCGGGCTGTCAAGAATCTGTTAGTCATCGGCGACGCGGCCAAAAGTGTATGGTTTGTGGGGTTTCAGGTATGTGCGCCAGCATTCGGAGTGAAACACGTAGTTCATGAGTGGTGTAGGAAGATCCATATAAGCTCGTGATTCTGGCCAAGGACTTCCAAACCGTGTGCGTTACTACGGCCGACTTCATCTTCACCGAAGATTCGATGTCTATCTTGACGAATGACGAGAACGGTGTGATGCGGTTGTATCAGTACGATCCACAAGGTACGAAACAATGTCTGCCGTCGATGGTCTTGGCTCACGACTCGCCTAGATCCCGACTCCAGGAACGGACAACAGCTAATGTGCCGTACTGAGTTCGATACACATACGACGTGTCAAACCTCCATCGTATTCGCTCGTCGTGTTGGTGAAGGTGAGGAGGCCGCTTTACCTCAAGCAAAAGTCGTTGCAGGTGAGTCAGAGGTCGTCTTGATCTCACGACAGTCCATCTTACATGTGTAGGTTCCATTGACGGGTCCCTCGCCGCATTAACATGCATGGATGAGCCCGCATTCAAACGACTACAGCTACTGCAAGGACAGCTGACAAGGAACATCCAACATGTGGCGGGTCTCAACCCTAAGGCCTTCCGGTGCGTAGTCCGTTGAAAAAAGATACTTACACTAGGATTTTGATGTGATTCCGATTCAGGATTGTCCGTAACGATTACGTTTCCAAGCCGCTCTCGAAGGGCATCCTGGACGGCAACCTGCTATCTTCCTACCTAGAGCTTCCTATTCCCCGCCAGGAAGAGATCACCAAACAAATTGCAACAGAGCGCGCTGCCGTTTTGCGCGACTGGACCAGTATAGGATCTGTATGGTAGTCACGCCCTAATCATGTTTCATACACGCAGTTTGTTGTTATCATCCATTCGTCCACAGAATTTGTATTATGTCATTTATAGGGTCGATACAGAACGAGACATGTTGCACATTACAACCGCATAATCAGCTGCTTGACCCCTGACATCCACAAACCGATGTCGTCCGTAAGCGAGCCTTTGGTGAGAAGATCAACGTGAATGGCAAGGGCGGCGTCGCGGTCGTGAGCTGCCATAGCTGCAGTGGCCTCGTCAGCATCCATATAAGCAATAAGTGTCTCCGAACGACCATACCTTGGGTGAGGACTGAAAGCTGGGCAACGACCGGCTGAGATAGAGTCTCGCAGTTGAGGGCATCGAAGAGCGGGTTGATGCGGCGCTCCAAATCGTCTACGAACCGTTTCTGTTGAGGCTGAAAATGTACATTTCATTAGTCTAGCTGAATATAAGCATCAACTGATGTCCAATATACGTACGGGAGTTATCTGCTTTAGGTGGTTCAACTGTCCAGAAATGATGTCATAGATAGGTTTAGACGCGTCGGGGATATGCGACCTATCACCAGCGGCTGCGAAGGCGTCAATAGGCAGTCCTCGGCCGATGTCAAAGGACGTACGGTATTTCGGCGGCGGCGGACCTTGCTGAGACGGCGCGCGGTTGATGCTCGCCGACCTTGGTGGCGCCATGCTCGGGCCGCCCGGGGGCGGTGGTCCCACAGCAGATGGCGGGATACCCGCTCCGGGCCCTGGGGGCGGAGCAGCGCGAGCGGCACCAGGTGGAGGGCCGTATGGCCCCGTGGGCTGAGGAGGCGACATGGCGCGATCGTAGCCGCCAGGTCCTCTGGGCGGCGCTTGCATCTGCTGCACCGGCGGAGGCGTAGCCCGGTTGTAGGGCGCTCCGGTGTTTGGAGCGAATCCAGAAGGTGCTTGTCCAATTGGAGGAGCCACATGTCCGCGTTGAGGTGGTGGGGCGAATTGTCCTGGAGGCGGCTGCCTGGGCGAACCGGGGCCGGCATTCGGCGGTCCAACAGGGGGAACCGCTCCGCGATGAGGCGGGGGTGGCAAGTTTTGCGGCTGTCCTGGGGGTCCTGTAGTAGGTGGGCGGGAAGGCGGGTACGGTCCAGGACCTCCCTGAGGTGGAGGCGGGTGCGCCAAACCACGCTGGGGAGGTGGGCCAGGTGGCAGACGTCCACCTTGCGCGCTAGCGGTCCGCGGCGGTGGCGGCGGCAAGCTCGCCGGCGTCCCAGGACCGCCGAACGGTACGTTGGGAGTCTGCGGGCTAGAGTTGGGGAACGGCGATGTAATCGCAGCAGGCTTAGCGGCGGTCCCAACGGTGGGTGTCTGTCGGCGATCCAAGACCGGCGGCGCATCATTCCATCCTCCGGCCTGGCGTTTGGGAGGTGGTGGCAAGGAAGCAGTACCAGGACCGCCATTCATCGCTCGCGGCGGTGGAGGCAGGGAGACAGCAGGCTGAGGGGGTGCCTGCTGTTGCCATCCGGGACCGCTCGTGGTTGGACCACCACCATAGGGGTTGGGCGGCGCGTACGGTGTAGCACCAGTGGTCTGGTAAGGCGGTTGCGTGGTACTGGGAGGACGGGCTGGCGCATACGGACCGCTGGGCTGCTGTGTGATGGGAGGTGCATAGGGGCCACTAGGCTGTTGCGGCGCTGCAGCGGTGTATTGATCGTAAATGGAATGTGCGGCACTGGGCTGCTTAACTTGAGGAGCCTGTTGCTGCTGCAGGTGAACGGGGGCTTGCTGGTACCCATAACTGGATGTCGAAGCAGGTACAGCGGCAGGAGCGGGGGCTGGAGCTAGCTTGGACGGTCCTGCGACGGGAGCGCTTTGCCCAGCCGCGACCAGAAGCCTCTCCCTTTCGCCAGTGAAGTCGACGGCACTGCCAGAGTAGTCCGTTGGGGTCAACTTCAAGAACTCCACAGCCTCGCCCACCAATCCTTGCGCAACGAGCAGATCCGCGTATTCGAGGTAGCGGTCGTACAACGCTGACAGCTTGTACAACTTTGTGGACGCGTTTTGACCCGACGACGCTCCTTGCTGGAGATCGGAATCCGCGTACTTGATAGCGCTGCGGAAGACTGTCACCTTCTCCACGAATGTCTGCAACGCGTGCGCGTGCGCCGAGTATAGGCTTTGTTCCTCTCCTTCCTCCCGAGCCTTCTCTTCTTCGGCGAGCTCCTCCACCCAGATGTTCACCAGCCGTTCCAGCCGACCAGCTGCCAGATATGTCAACGTTGCATTTTTTCTCAGCTCCTTGGCCAACTCGGGCTGCCCGTCCTCGGTCGCCTTCACAAGGCGGCTCTGGAACTCCAACCGCTGGCCGAGCTGCTCCGCAAGACCCGCGAATTCCTCCTGGCTCGCGAATGTGCACAGCACGACGAAGATCTCCTGCCACTCCTGCAGATCCGCGTTTTGGACGATGTCCGCCAAATCATTCGTGACGATGCTGCCGAACAAGCGCAGGTACGGCAGCTGCGTGGTGCGCTTCTCAAAGTAGGCCTTCTGCGTCTTCGCCAGCAGCTCCGGGCCGCCCTTCACCGCGAGCAGGATCGCGTCCGCGAACCGCTCGACGCTCAAGCACAGCGTCACCGCGCTCTCGAAGTCGCCGAGCACGAGGGCCTTCGTAACCAATCGGTCGGTCTCACTCTCGTCCGCGGGGTAGATCCTGAAGGTATTATTCTTCAATCCTTCGCTAGCCGCGCTCGATGGTCGGCTACCGATAGTCGCCGCAACGCTCGAGTCAATCGGGTAGTTCGTGTGCGGAACCTGGGGGTGCAAGCTCGTGTCGTCCGCGCCGCGGGCCATGCCCATGCTGCTGAAGAAGTCGGCAGCGGCATCTGTCTGCGGCGTACCGATGTTTTCGTCGCCGAACAAGGAGGGCACAGTGGTCGTCGACTCCCCGTCTCCGGTCGTCGTGGCGCCCGTAGCGTCGCTCGCAACGCTGGCACTAACCTCGGATGGAGTCGCCTCCGCAGCTCCGTTCGCGTTGTCGGCAGCCTCGGCTTCGCCACCCTCCACGTCGCTCGTGACGTCTCCGCTCTTCTCGGGTTCCGCAAAACTCACGACAGGCTCCCGTGGCGCCTGGATGTGCGTTTCAGTCAGCTCTTGGTCGACAGGTGTGGCTGATGCGCGCTCGTCCGCCTGCTCCTTCAAATTCGTCACAGCCTGTGCGACGCGCTTAGCGATCTCCTCCTTCGAGAAGCCGAGTAGTGTCACGAGCTCATCCCTCGAATCCGCATGGAATAAGCTTAGCAGCGCCTTCCACGCTTCGCTCGCGCCAGCCGGGTCGTCGCCGGCGCGTTCCTTCGCGAGCTCGCTCAGCGCGTCGGACTTGACCGCCTCTGTCAGCTTCTTCGCGCGTTCCACGATGGCCTCCTCGGTGACGACTTTGCGCACGTGCACGACGCTGCTCTGCGCCTTGCCCTGAGCGCCGGGCAGGTTGCTCACGCTGACCAGCTTGCCGCCGTAGCCCCAGGTGGCGCCGACGGGCCGTTTGAGCCACTTGGGCGGCTGACTGAGCGAGAGCGTCGCCTGCGTAGTGCGCGTGTATTCTGGCGCGTCGAAGATGTCGGCTCCTGATTGGGACGCCGCCGCGGTGGGCGCCTGCGAGGGGGTATCCTGGTTGGTGCCCTGGACGTTATGGATGCCGATGGTGCCGTCGAAGAAGCCGGCGGCGAAAAGGTCAGGGTTGCGCGGGCACCACTGGACCTGGAACGCCCAGTTGTCGGCAGAAGGCACCTGGAGATCCCATGAGCAAATATCAGCGGCGACGACTGAAGAGCGGCAAGAAAACTCACCTCGCCGATGATCTCACTTGACTGAGGGTTCCAGCACAACACGCGATTGTCCTTCCCGCAAGACAGAAGTAGGTCCGCGTCCTGCTTGCACCAGGAGAGCGAAAGCACGCCCTTCTCATGACCCGTGAGGATCTATACAGGGGGGGCACGTTTTAGATTAGTACGTGGAACGACATTCCGTCCTCACCTTCTCTGGGGCGCGAGCGTTACGCAAGTCCCAAACCATGATCACGGGCGAGGTGTCGTCTTCAGAGGACGTAACGATCCTCGTGGCCTACAGTTGGTGTAGTCAGTATACCATCCAGCCACCAGCTGCATGTAACACACGTTATCCGGATGCCAGGCCACGTCACTCATTCCTCTCCTCCCGCCAGCGCCCATACCAATACCTCCGATAGATGCGCCTGCGAGCGTCCCGGCGCCACCACCATACGCAAGGGCAACAACCTCACGCTTTCCTCGCAGATCCCATACGACCGTGTAGCCGGTGCTGGAGGCGGTGGACAGGATGTGCGGGACCTGATGGTTCCACGCGAGAGACGTGATTTCATCCAACTTTTGAGATCGCGAGCCGGGAGAATAGGGCTTGGACGGATCGCGAAGATCCCAGATGAAGACCTGAGTAGCGATAGCTTGGTTAAGTGGCTGCAATCGCGCGCCGAGCGGAATGTGGGCGTTACCTCGCCGCCGACGGCGCCAGATGCGAGCAAGTTCGTTTGGATTGAGTTGAAGTCAAGGCCGCGTATGGGTCCACTGTGCGTGTCGTTACGGAGAATGAGCGACTCGGTTGGTCTGTGAAGGAATTCGGTTAGTATGATATCGAAGCGGATAGCCATCGCATCAACGAATCGACGCACTCCGCACTAGCGACAATCTTGTCCGCGTCCCATATCCCAAGCTCGCCGTTCTCCATCCCAGCAGCAATGACTCCCTTCGGTCTATTTCCATCTACATATCCCCATGCAATGCGGTTGAATCTAGCCCGCGCGTCGATCAGCTCCGTGTGCTCATTCATACGAACAAGACGCGGTCTCCTCACTTCGCATGAGTGCTAACCACGCCCTTCGGCCCAGGCCTTCCCTCGCCTCCGAGGTCGTATTCCGCCGCGTCGCTGAAGTCGGGCGCCCAGATTTCGAGCTGGCTCTCGTTGCTGAAGGACTCGTCGAGCGCGCCGGCGACGGAGCCCGTGGCCAGCAGGGGCGGCGCCGGCGCCGGCGACCACGCGAAGGTCGCAGTCCGCGAGATTTCTTTGAGTTTCATGCGAGGTCGTGAGCGGGGAGGATGGCGAGGTCGGGACAAATAACGAAGGGAAGTCTAGGGAAGATGGCGCTGGAACCGGGGAGTATGACACGTATATTGCCAAATACGGTAAGCGGTAGCATCCGCCGCCACAGTCGCCAGGTTTCCCGCCCTCTCTCTTCCCCAAAGCTCGTACTTTATTATCTCGCAGTGTGCCGACGTGCTATGTTTCTCTCTTCTCAATTGGCGTACTGCACCTGCCATGCTAATGTGGTGCAAGATCCATATTTACCATGGCAGTGCCTTGACATGCATACGCCAACGATCCTGAGGAGATACCGCCTACCGCCGCACCAAAGCCTGATGCAAGGGGTGATTCTACTCATATTCTACGACTGTTGGACATAGGTTCTGTACGTACGGAACCTTGGTGGATGATAGATATCAGATGCTCGGCGATCACGAGCCAGGCCCCTGAATAAGGCTGGGCGATTGCGTACGACGCAAAGTCAAAGAACAACCTAACTATACTCCGTTGCTCGGGTGACGAACATTCTTCTTCAATTAGAGAGAGGCAGGGAGAGAGACTTGTGCGTATCTTTGGTATCACTACGGAAGCTGACCGCGCTTTAGCGTGGCGCGGCGCCTAGCGACCAACATATAAGACATACGATATCGTACGCTTTGGCCCTCGCGTCTGGCGGTTGCGCCACCATGGCCGACGTGATTCCTGTTCTTCAGCGCGTGCAGTTCGCAAATGTAAGCGTTTGGCCTTGAAGAGTCAAAGCACTGCTAACATGTTTTCCCCAGTATTTTATCAGTAAGAATGTGCATGTGATGATGGTGACAACTAGCTGACGAACGCCAAGGCGCGTCGGTCCCGCTTCTGGTCTGTTGCTGCATCGCGTGTGGTGGCTGTTGGACGATACTGAGTAGACGTACACACTCCAGATATACGACTTCTGCCTCACGCTGGACGATGAGGTGCGTGGTCTTGTACGGTATGAGCCAAGCAACCATCAAGCCTAGTCGGTTAGGTCTCGTTGATATGGGGCTCTAAGCTCTCTTGGATCAAGATTCTTTACTTCATGAACAGATTGGCTCCATTTTCAGATGCGATACTTGGATTAGCTCGTGAGCGCTTCTGATGCTCGCCTCGTTCTCATGACTGACTAGATATGAAGGTCGGGTCTTGGCTCGCGATGAATGGGTGATTCCGCTCTTGAGCTTGTATGCCGAGCTCGCGCTCAAGTAGCCTTGGTCTCTCTCTCAGATGTGCCAACAAGGCGATGCCATCGTTAACTGTGGGTGTAGTGTTGTACACGGCACATCGTGATCTCAACGCGTTCGGGCGCAGCTCTCGTTCTCATCGGTTTAGCCGTGGCAGAAGGCTAGTTTATACACACTCCCCGCGGTCTCTGCCTAACTCGGGTGAATGCGTTTAGCTCTCCTAGTAGTCCGAACATGCGCAATATGGCGCAACAGCACACGTGTTGCGTACATCCTCTGGGCCTCGTTTGTCGTAAGTATTGATCATCTGCGTGACTGGACGCATAGTAATGTGTGGCTCAGGGGTTTTCCGGCGCTGCGGTGATCATTCTAGCTCGATACCAACTCCAAACGCGTTGTATGTCGACCCCCGCTCATCATGCTTCTGATCGAGGCTCACCCTTACATCGCAGTCATCACCATAAGCGCCACCATACCGGGCCTGAGAGGATGTCTGGAAGTGGCCGGACGAAACGAGATATGGAAGGCATTCCTACTTCTCACGATCTCGGAGACTGGTGCGTGATGGATAGACCCTCGATGTTTCTACAGCTACAGCAACCGATGGGTTCCAGTTATTCTGGCATTCACTGTGGCGCAATACTGCATCTCACGTACGTCACACAACGCGGATCAAGCTGATATCCATGCCGCATCTGACCATAGGGGCACATCCGCACCGCAGATGATGGTCAGCATACGCATAGTTCGCGTCTGTTCACAACCCTGTATCGCGACGGTCAGACCCCACATGACAACTTTAGTCCATTCATCTAACACATCCTCTAGGAATGATGTACTATTTGTATTTTTTATGTGAGAGCAGCGACGGACCCCAACGGATTCAACTAATCGTAGAATCTGCAGTGCCTAGCATCGCCAATATCGTGGTATTGGTCCGCGCGGTAATGTGTGTTCTCCTGTCCAAATCATCTTAACTATTGATATGCGCGATTTACAGGATCCGGAGCGAGCATCGTCTATGATACAGTGCGTGCAAAGCCTTTTATTCTCCGTCCTACGGTACTCATTGCATCGCAAACAGGATTTTGCATGCCCTGCATAGCATCCTGGTATCCCGGGTGATCTTGCGATTGAGAAAGACGGCGCAGCTTCCTGCACATGAGCCCTTGTCAATGCTGAGTATTCCTCCTGTGTATACTGTGTATAGACAGTACGAGTCCCAGCACGATCCTGAGTCACATTGGTGAATATATATTTCTACTAATCGAGGGATGTGCACTGAAACGTAAAGGACTCGTGGTCCTGAATCCGCGAAGGGTTCAAGATTCTGCAGCATCGCAGATCTGCTCCACCAAGCAGCGGATTATTGGCTGGCCTATGTTGACAATCTAGATTCGACGACATACACGTGTCAATCAGAGCGCCCGTACGATTGCTCATGATTAACCTCTGATTTAGTATCATCCTCATCCAGACCGGAGATCTCAACCCTATCCTGATCCTGATACTATGAATTTCTTCAGTAGGGTAACGAGAGTCGCGCATATGCTGTGAGTACTACTTCCATAAGGAAGGTACCACGCAAGGTGCTCTGTGCCGTTGATAATCGTATTCAGTCGCATTCAGGATCGATTGAGAACTCATGTATACAGCTTCGTTAAATGCGGAATATCGTTAATACTGCTCTGGCCGTTGATCACTGGATGTGAGAGTCGGTCGTGCATATATGCGCAGGGATCAATCACCGCTCCTAGTATACACCTGTTGCTCGAGCGACGATGTGTATATCGGAAATGGACGAGAAATTGACGAGTGCTGCCTGCGTATTCTGGGGGGCGTAATGGTCCCTGGGATATTTTCTAAGTTGCCTAACTTGTTGATACGTAAGCACTGCAACTGATATACCTCGCCAACAGAGCCCGGGAAAGTCCTCATCGATGATACAGTACGTATGCGAGTTCATTAATTCTAGGCACTTTACCTTAGTCATTGCGATGCACACAGGATAGTTCACACTCTGCATAGCATCCTGGTGTCCCGGGTCATACTGCATATCAGGAAATCAACGCGTGTCTCTGCACATGAACCATTGTCGATGCAGGACAGTCTTTTGACGCACGAGACACATCATGTTCGTTGGGACCCGGAATCGTGTTGGTGACGCACACTTCCGCCCATTACACGAAAATAGATATCTTGGTGCGCTAGCACTGCGTCCCATGTATGTATATTGTGCCTCGTGGACAAATCAATACCTCGCAGCTATCCATTGTTGTGTCAAGATACCCAGACGAAATCCCACGCCAAAATTTGGACCTGCTGATGTATTGCGCAACGCACTAGTAAAGCGCGACATCATGAAACGCGTCTACAACAATCCTACGTCGAGCGGACATCTTCTTTCGAGTTGATCACAGATGTTACAGTAATGTCTCGCTGAGGAATTCTCATAAGCCTTCCATATCCTCTATGCGCCCGTGGGTATCATATAGATCTTCTAGCAGTACAGCAAACCGACTACCAGCGACTCTGTCGCACAAAAAATGGTATCTATCGGCGTCATCTGTGAGCAGAATGTTGTTTAATCTCCGTAATGTCCGCGTCAGACGGCAATGTATGCATTTCGAAATCGATGCCGTGGTATTCGGCTGATAGGTGCGTCGTATTCAGCATCGGGGTACTAGTACTACATGCGCGGGGATGAAACTCACCACATGTGACGTTGATAACCTCTCGGTTATTGTTCGGCGCAGAGAGTACACGTGTGAATATATCCAGGCCTGCTCCCGTTGTATGGTCCATATTCATGTTCTGAAATCGTTGCTTGCGGGGATCGCGGATGTTGAGCATTAACCGGGACATGAGCATCGAAGACAGCGAATTCGCAGGTGCGCCACCTATTCCTCTGAGTGCGGGCGGGAAAGCAAGGAAGGCGGCGATTGTGAACGTGTAGCAGAGTGCCATGATGCTGCATGCGTTATAAAAGAGGTGATAAGGAGCTGCTTCCAGTGAAATGAGGACGGTTGAAGGCGTACCCGAAGTAGAGCGTTCCTTCAGGAATACCCAGGGGGTTAGTATTCCTCGTTGTGCGAGAGCCATAGAAACACACCATCGCGCATAAGAGTACCCCGCGCCAGGAACCTTCTTTGGGTCATGTATTTGCACAACATAAGCCCAAAGATTGCAACATCGAAAGCGAGTAATCCGGACCAGGTGATGGCCAGGCCTGAGCAACGAATGTCATGAACAAGTGTAAACACAGCTAGCCCGTAGACTGGTGTAGCTTACGCAGCGCCCTGACAAAATATCAGCATGTAACCAAAGTGCGTGATCGAGCTGTGTTCTTACTGCTGTCTTGTCAGCAACGATACACATCCCACAATATTATTGTGTATGGGCACATTGATTGTTGGGCTGTGATCACCCAAGACGGCCCACTGTGAGCGCAGCGTGATGAGAATGTCTATTTCATATATGAGTTCTATAGTCGCGACACACCAAAGCGATGCCAATGACGCCAAACCCGTATCCGAGCAGAGAAAATAGGATTCTGCGACTGCGATTATAAATCGCGTATGTTCGCATGATCTGCAAGACTGAGTCGATCAAGGTTACGCCTCGAGCCATAAGAGCGATATATTCAGGCTCACCGCCAACGACCAGTTGGATGAATATCGCCAATATTTGATGGTATGCGTGCACGGCATCGCATTGCCTCTGGTAGGCCAAATTATGTTTGATGCAGGCTCTCCGCATGTTCGTATGACGAAGTCTGGATGTCCTCGTACCTGACTGCTCCTCCAGAAGTCCTCCACAAGGAACATGATCTCCCCGAACGAACAATATCGGTTGAGAAAGTATAGCACTGAAGCCCAACCGATGTTCTTGCTCCAATACCGGTCTACCTCGTCCGCGAACGTTAAGGAGTAATCGTAGCATAGGATTGTGGTACCGATGGTCGCCACATAGCGTGTTAGATCCCTGCGCGAATAGGTTGGAGGTCAGCGAGCCGCAAACGGGATGTTAAAACACGCACCCTTGAAACTGGATCTCTGCCCCCAACTGAGTCGCCAGCGACATGAGCGAGGTACAGGAGAGGTTCGGGTTCTAGTTGCGAGGCTGAATTTCCGCCCTGTTTGCTTACCCTTAAGGCGGAGCACACCCGCAGCGCGCTCCTATGAACTTGGGCATCGGAGCGCAGGTGATCACGATTAACTTTCCACCAGGATGGTGGCCATGCACAGCTGAAGTTCCAAACAGAAGCCACATCGAGTCCACGGATGAGAATAGAATATGCCGTAATGAGATAGCGCTGTATCACGAGGTTCACAAATGCCAAAGGCCCGAATAGGCGCGTGTCCAAGCCTTCCACATGGCTACGTGTGCCAGGAGCGAGAGACTATGAAGATGAAGAGGTCATACATCTGTGGAATGGTCTGCGACGGCCGGACTCTAATGCGCGCGTGTGAGAGTTTGCAAGGGGAGAAATCTTGATAACTTGCAGAATTGAGTTGCGTCGTCAAGGTGACCGAGGGAGCATACACCTGCGTGATCGACACCAGCTTCGTCTTCGTCGAGGACTCCAAGGAGCAACATCGTCGGAACCACAATCCAGACCTTCCATGGCATTCACATGGCGATCAAATCATCCCAGTGTTATCTTGGGTTGATCTTGGGTCGCCAGGTCGTGACGCCACCATCGATCCTGCGTGCCTGCCAGTTGCGGCCACTGTACTGGTGTCGTTGCATTGCAACAGCTAAACTTGTTCTAGGGGTGATTCCGACCAATTTTTTGAGCAAACATATCATACAGATCTCGTAGATTGAGCTGATTCGCCGGCCTAGAGTGCGCTTCTCATCGGTCCAACACATCACCTATAGATTCGCGCTCAGCCTCGCTGCGGATGATTTGGCATGTGCCGTGCTCATGAACAGGCCCTCGAACATTCGTGCCATCGGTCATGCTTGATATCTGTTGCATTTCAACGTCGGAATCGTTGTATCGACGATCTGTTCGCAACATTGTCGCTGACTGAGATCGTCGCTTGTCGCAAGCTCTGATAAAGGACGTACCGAGAACGACACGTACGGCCCCGGCACTCTCATCATTTGACTGGGTGATTGTCATCATTCGAATATCCAAGGATGTTGATCCAGATGTCCCTCCGATTGCGGTGTCTGGATACCGATGAAGACGAGGATCACGTATGTTCAGCATCAGTCGGGACATAAGTGTCGTGGCCAGGAAGTTCGCTGGTGCGACGCCAACAGAACGTAACGCTGGAGGAGCGACAATGAATGACGCAATGGTGAAGATATATGTGATAGCCATTATCCTGAGGAGAAATAGATGATCAGTAGCCGAAGCAAGCGTCCAACATGTCGCTACCCACCCGAAATACATCGTCCCTAGTAGTTTTCCATGAGTCAGTCAACGCCGACGGTGACGCAGATATGTATGAGATCTTACCATCATGCATGAGAGTACCGCGGGCAAGGAACGACCTTTGGCGTACATACTTCCATAGCATTAGACCGAAAACGACGCTATCGAAGGCAAGCAATCCGGACCACGCAATCGCTAAGCCTGCAAGACAATGTCGTCATCGGATCGGTTTGAGGAAAATATGGGGTGGTGGGTCACCAAGCGACGAATGCAAGGAAGTTTGGAATGTCCGAAATGACTGGAGTGAGTCTTTGTGGGGAGAATTTGTGTATGGTACTCGCCTATAGATCTGTTCAAGTCTGAGTTGCGATAGTTCCCGACAGTGGCAACATCGAAGCAACTTACTGCTGTTTGTCGAGAGGGGAGAGGCAACCGCTCACGGGTTCAGGCCCCAGGTAGTCGTGGCTGTCACTTTGATCGCCGAGAACGGCCAACTACCTTCCGGTGAGCCTCTTCGTCTCACGGAATCATAACAATGCTCACCAAAGCAACGCCTACGGCCGCCAGACCGGTCACAACAAGGAATGCGAGAATTTTGAAACTGCGATTGTATACGGCATACGTGCGCAAGACCTGCGAAACTGCCGGAATGCAACCATGAGTTCCGGGTCTGCCTACAAGACGCACAGACGTACCTCCGATGACGAATTGAATGACGATTGCGAGGATCTGGTGGTATTTGTGCAACATGCGGCATTCCTCCTGGAGAACAAACATCATAGCCGTCAGCTTTCAACAGCGAGAAGCGTCCAATGGAACGCACTTGACTGCTTCGGCGGAAATCCTCCACGAGGAGCATGATTTCTCCAGCGGAAAGGTACCTATTCAAGAAGAACAGGATCGAGGCCCAGCTCGCACCCTTGGTCCAATACCGATCGAACTCTGTTGAGAACGTCAAGGTATAGTCGTAGAAGAGGATGGTAATGCCCATGGTCGTGGCATAGCGCGCAACGTCCCTGATTCGAATAGTAAGAATGCCAACGGTATCCCGCTAGTAGTTCGTGTTACTCACACCTGAAGTTGAACATCCGCTGCTGGCTGGGCCCACAACGCCATGCACTAAGGAGGTGGAGCTGGGGTGGACGTTCAGTCGAAAGTCATGCCGCTATCCCACTGCTCGATATATGCGGGAACAGCGTCGGACATTTCTCCAGTGGGATCTACGGCGATAGCAGCCAACCGATGATGAAACCGTTCGCTGTCCCAGACCTATGGCAGAAGGCACAGCCGATGCGTAGGTCCTAGTGAACCTGAGGGTATCTAGAGCTGTAGCGGGAAGATTGCCGTTCACATCTCGCCGAAACTGGCGCTCGTTTGCGAAAGGGCGAGATAGCTTGACCCAAAGACGGCACTCCGCGCATCGCCCCATCAGAAGCGCCAGCGACTATTCTTGCTCTGCCTCAGTCCAATCGTCGTGCGGGACATTTCTGTTCAGACTATTCGACCAACAAATCCAGAGAGACGAACAAGATACCAGCTCTATTCGCTCGGATACAACAAAGATGCTGCTACTGATACAAAAAAATGATTATCACCATGTATGCTATAGCGTTATAGATGCGTTACGTCTTCGTATACATCCCTTTTTGGCATCATCATCTCTCATGCCATGTCGACTCCGCGATCTTGCGAAGGATCCGACATCCGATCGTGATTCGTAGCCGCGTTCGTCGTCGTCGTCGTCGTCGCGCCCGTCCCAGGCTGCATCTCAACGCCCTCCTGAACTGCGAACGAGTTGATCATCAGCCGGGGTGGCACAGACAAAAAATATCCCTAGCTCGCGAAGGAAAAAAAAACACGGACGCTCACTCGGATAAGCCGGCGTCGCCTTCCCCGAGAGGTCCCTCGAAGCCGACGCCGACTGCGCTCGCGCGGAGCTCGCCGGCGTCCTACTCCCGCTGCTGCGGGACCAGCGAGAGAACGAGACCGTGCCCGGCGTCCTCGCTCCCCAGCCCCCGAAACTCCACCCCGACCTCGAGCTCGGGGCGGTCGAGTCGATCCCGCGCTCTTCGTCCTCGGACGGGCTCGCGTATCCGTAGCCGTACTCGCCGTAGCCGTAGTCCGGATCGCCTTGCGCCGACGGCGGGCTGATCTCTATCGCTCCCCCGGGAGTAAGCGATCGCCGCCGCAGAAAAAGAAAAAAAGAAGAAGAAGAAGAAGAAGAAGAAGGAAGAACGCTTTAGGGAAAGGAAAACAATGAAAGGGGGGGGATAAAAAAAAAGGTTATTGGACACTTGCCCAAGACGGTGCTGACGTACTGCCCCGCCGACGACACTCCGCCGCCGGTCGTGAACTCCCCGGTCCCGCTCCGGCGCGGCCGCGGTCCGAAATCGATGCGGGTGTCGGTGGCGCGCGTGCGCGAGGTGGTGGTGGCGCTCGCGAAGCGGACGACGCGCGGGTCGCGGACGTTGAGCATGAGGCGCGAGATGAGCGAGGCGGCGAGGACGTTGGTCGGCGCCGTGAAGAGACCGCGGAGGGAGGGCGCGAAGAGGACGAAGGAGAGGATGTTGGCGAGGGAGGAGAGGGCGAGGACGCTGATGCGGATGAGAAAGAGGAAGGGGTCAGGTGAAGGTGATGGAATGAGTTCAGAGGGGGGGGCGTACGCGAAGTATACGGCGCCTGTTGCGATTGCGGAACGGGTGAGCGATGCGACGAGGGTGCGAAGGAGAAGAGAGAGAGAGTGACTCACCGTCGCGCATGAGGACCGCGAATAGGTCGTGGCCCGGCATCCGCCGTCCACGCGAGACGGAGAGGGTATGTCCCAACGCTTTGGCGAGCGTGAACGCGAAGATCATCGTGTCGAACACCATCAGACCGGTCCAGGCGATGATCAGATCTATATTCACAGAAGCAGGAGTGGGAGCGCAGCGTGGGAGAGTCAGATAGTCGTGTTTCGGATTTCGTGGGGACGGATCTGAAGGCCAGACTCACGGAGGGCCCTGGAAGCGGCGAAGAACGCGGGATGAGAGCTATCCTCGACTGTGGGTGGGAGGAGAGACTCACTGGTGCCGGGTCAGGGTGGAGATGCAGCCGATGGCGACCCCGGGCGCGGTGAGCATGATGGTCTGGCTGCGGTCGCCGAGAACGGCCCACTGTCGCACGCAAAGATATCGACGGGTCAATATACGGATTGTTAAGGCGAAAGTGCGCAGTCGCGGGAAGCTCAGATGGGGGGACGGGATTGAGAGGAGAGGAACTTACGAGGCCGACGCTGATCACGACTGCGGCGACCGCGAGGATGAATCGGAGCACCCTGCGGTCACGGCCGTATAGCGCGTAGGTCCTGATGATCTGCAGGACTGCGATACGGTGATTCAGCCACGTTCGGAATTAAATGCGAAGGAGACTCACTGCCGACGATGATCTGCGTGATGACCGCGAAGAGCTGGTGATAGGTGTGCAACCTATCACATCGAGACTGGATAGCAGGCGTCCTCAGCATGATGCCGTGAAACGTGAAATACTCGGGTGCACAGACCTGATCCTGCGGGTGATAGAAGTTCTCGATCACGAGCGCGAGCTGGCCAAAGACGGAGAGGTATCGGTTGATGAAGAAAAACGCGGACGGCCATGTAAGCCTCCGTCTCCAGTATCGTTGTATCTCGGTCCCGATCGTCAAAAAGTAGTCGTAATAGAGGACGGCGAAGGCGACGGTGGAGACGTAACGATTCACTTCACTGGATAAGGACCGACAATATGGTTCGCGTCAGAAGATCGAACGGTGAGCCCGCGGTTGGTGCAAGGACGTACGCCTGTGTCTGCGCGCTGATCGCAGCTTGCGAGTACATCAATGGGTCGCGGATATCCCTTGTCCCTTGAATAGACCCAGTCCGTCGAGGAGCAGGTACGTCGAGGTCAAAGAGCGAGGCAAGCAAAGCAGACGCGACCGCGCGCGCAGGGTCTTGGCGGCCCTGTGTATGGTCTTGGATACCGGTGGAGAGAACAGCCCCTCGTCTCACCCTGGCGCCGAAACCCGCTGGTCGGAGGAGGTAAGCCAAGCTTTGTGTGTGTGCAGCTTGTGCACACTTGATCTCCGCGTGCCTTTGCTCGGTCCGCGGCACGACAGCTTTTCGCACGTTGGCGCCGGCGCGGCCAATCACAGGGCACATCCCATCAGCCGCCACGTGTGCTCGCATCAGATTCGCCGGTCACCATTACAAATCGCGCGCGGAACACACCACGGGCTCGGCGCGGATCTTGCGACCGATGCTTGCACCGGGGAGAGCTGGTCAAATACTCGTGTATAGATGATAGCTGAAGGAGAAGAGGCCAAGAACTTCCTGAAAATAACCCCTAGTCCGGTAGCTCACTCACTAGCCACTGCATACACATGGCAACAGAGTATGGTGGTATTGGTACAAACTAGGTTATAGCACGTAAGGTAAATACGGATTCTATGTAGATCCAAGAGAGTAACTCTATGGCTGAATGCCGCGGCCGCGGCCAAGTCGTGGCCTTTCAAGCTTCAATCTGTGCAAGTCAATCATCTACTCTCGATATGAACCCTCGCAGCTCCTCCGTGAGCTTGCTAATCGCAATGACCCAACATGGCCCGCTGCCCCCGGATCCACTCCCTCGCACTGAGCGCCGCTTCACGAGCACGCCAGCTCCGAGTCAAGCTGCCCCGAGGTGGATTCCCGGCGGCGTCGCACTCAGGCACCCAACACCCCAGCGGCCCGACCACAAACGCAAGAGCGCACATCAACAGCGGAGAGCGCGCTGTTGCTCGCTCGCGGTTTCCATATCGAATTAAAAAAAAGCAATCAGTTGTCTGATCGCCCGTCCACATGCTGCGCCTTCATCTCGATGACGTCCCCGACTGCGTCGGAGATTCCGTCAGCAACTTCATTCGCACTTAGGGTGGCACTCCAGTTACACACGCACCGCTCTTGCTTTGAAACCGCGGTCCGAACGTCCACCACCGACTGGAACTCCTCTCCGCCGACGTCGGCACGTCCGATGGAAGACCGCTCGTCCACTCCTCCTCCGCAGCTCGAGATGAATCGCGCGGCCCATACCCACGATCGAAGGCGGCATACCCGTAACCAGAGCGTCCGCGCGGGCTGGTCTCTGTGCCACACGCAAATAAAAATCGATGGTATCGTCATGGGCGGTTCCTAAATAGCCAAAAGAAAAGGAGCGACAAACGTACCGATCGTGGCGTCTCCGGCGGTACGCGAAAGCCGAAGGAGCTCCGGGGGCGAGGGCATCGCCACGCGAACGATGCGCGGGTCGCGGACGTTGATCATGAGGCGGGAGATGAGCGTCGCGGCGAGCACGTTCGTCGGGATCGTGAGCACACCCCGGAGAGCGGGCGAAGACAGCACGAAGGTGAGGATGTTCGCGAGCGAGGAGAGCGCGAGTACGCTGACGTATGTCCAATGACATGGATCAGAGAATCACGTCGCGATGGCGGAGCCGCAAGAACGTACGCGAAGTAGATTGCGCCGTCGCGAAGGAGCACGGTGAAGAGCGCGCCGGAGACGCGGGGGTGCAACGCGCCTGGAAGAAAAACTTGCTCCTTCGAACGGTAGACCGAGCGTGCGGCCGTGAGCGCGAAGATGATGCAATCGAACAGGAGTTGGCCGGACCATGCGATTGTGAGACCTACAAAACATCAAGATATAGAGAGGAGGGCTTCTCGAAAGGCAATATATCCTCACGATCGGCTCTGCGGGGGAAGTGTGAGCACGAAAGCAAATGTAGAGGTACGGTTTTATGCTCAACTGGCTTCGGGTGAGGATGTACATGCATCCCGGGTCAAGGCCCGGCGCGGTCAGCGTGATCGTCGGGCTATGATCGCCAAGGATAGCCCACTATGCGCTATTGAGACTTCTACAGATGTGACCGATCGGAGCGTGGTACTCACCAACGCAACGACAACGATTATGACAGCGCACGTTACTAAGAATATGAGGATTGCCCGGCTCCGACCATACAACGCGTAGGTACGCATAATTTGGAGGACTGTCGGAGCGGGTGGAATAGTTTCGTCAGATGACGCTACAAAGAGCATGACATCACGTATACTGACTGCCGGCAACGAGCTGAAGCACGACCGCAAATATCTGATGATATACATGCCAGACGTGGCATTTGTCCTGTCGCGGTCTCGTCGTCAGCAATGCGGCCAAACACGGCACATGACGAGTAGTACGGACTTGATTGGATGGGGCCCAGTACGTCTCTACGACAATAGGCAGAAATCCGAGTAAAGAGAGGTATCGATTGATGAAGAAGAACGCAGAGGGCCATGTGAGCCTCCGTCCCCAGTAGCGCGAGATTTCGGTCGGGAGCGCGAGAGCGTAGTCGAAGTATAGCAGCGCGAAGGACACGGTGTATATGTATCGATTGATGAAGCTACCGACAATGTGTTCAATCAGCGCCACGGAACCTGGGGTTCGCGAGTTGAAGGCGTATATGAACGTACGCATCGGTTTGAGCGTGGACGGCCACCTGCGAGAACATCGTCAAGATCAAGGCAAAGCTCCGAAGGGCGGAAGCTCCTCCGCCTGCGTCAGTGCAGGCGATGATAGTCGCAAACAAGCAGGGCGAGGGAAGGCGAGCATGGGACTGGTGCAAGTACCGTTTTGTATCATGGTGGTGGCCGTAAAGTTGCGGAGTATGGGAACGCCATTGCCGTATCTATAATATAACTTAGGCCGCGCGTCTACCACAGTGAGGAATACTGATCTCACGGTCAGGAAAGGCTAGCTCCACGGTCATATCCCAGATTCCATCTGATCCGGCTGCTGTGCGCGGTATCGCTGTATCCTCTTGGGGTGAGACAACAGAACCACCACCGTTACGCGTCACTACACTGCGACTCAATAGAAAGAGCGATCAAGAAACGCGCAGCTTTTGCCGGATGCGTGCCGGGCTGGTCGAGGCGGGGCAGAAAACACAGCCACCTCCCCCGCACCGGGATGGTGGGCGGCTGGGCGCGCGGGTGACAGCGCCCACGAACATGCGCCGACAGCGTATTGCGTTCACATCGAGCGGGGATCTGGAGGGAGACGGGCTGTTGAGATCTGATGTCAAGCGTATTAATGGATTGCATCCTAACTGCGGCGATTGGCAATCATTGCACAGCGACGTGACTGATACATGAAGGTCTTCCAACGTCGGGTACTAATGAACTCGATGACATATATACATCGGTGGACGCGCGAATACTATTGCGATCAGGTCGCGGAGTTCGGGGCTCCGTTACATACTAGATGATGGTACATATACAGTACATTATACTAGTCGCAGTTCGTCGTGCCAAGGCGGCCCGAAAGGGGTACAACGACGCCGTGACACGAAACCGTCTTCCAAAAGCGAAGTGGCAGGGCCTCCCCATCTTCCGATCCCAGCAGCCTCGCCTTACGCGTACGGCCGCTCTACGCTTCCACAGGAGCGCCGTGAATGGCGACGCGAAGCGACGATGGCAATCAAGCGCGTCGCGGAGAGGCGATTCGCGCTCCGCAACCTCCGCGGATCGCGAAACCGTTTCCTTTTTTTTCTTCTTTTCTTTTCTTCACGTATCCGTCTTACCCGCATGTGCTGACGCATCGGGCCCCGCCGGCGGACGACGACTCTGCATCTCCATCGCGTCCCCGCCTGTGCACACCGGAAGGCACCAATCAACTCGTCAGCCCGGGCACCCCCCACAGCGCAGGAAACGCAAATCCCAGATCGAATCGCTCTCACCTTTCGCGTGGGACCGGCTGCTCCCGCCGCGCCCGAACGTCCACCGCGAGCCGGCGCTGACGCTCGTGCCCGAGCCGCGGCCAGAGGTGGCCATCGACGACGTCGCCCACTCGATATCGTCCGTCCAGCCGTCCGCGTCGACCTCTTCCTGCTCCGCCTGGGACGGGTTCGCGTATCCGTACCCGTACTCGGCGTAGCCGTAGTCCGGGTCGCCCAACGCCGACGGCGGGCTGATCTCTGCAATCCCCATCGCATATCAAAGAACAGAAGAACGAAAAAAAAGAACGTCAGCGTCTCTCCCTCGTTGTGGGTGTTTTTCCGACGCACCGAGCACGGTGCTGACGTAGGGCTCGTTCGTGGGTCGTGGCCCGTGCCCGCCGAGGAGCGTGGGCCGCGTCTGGGAGGGCGTGGCGAAGCGGACGATGCGCGGGTCGCGGACGTTGATCATGAGGCGCGAGATAAGGGAGGCGGCGAGGACGTTGGTCGGGATCGTGAGCACGCCGCGAAGCGCGGGGGAGAGGAGGACGAAGGAGAGGATGTTCGCGAGCGAGGAGAGCGTGAGCACGCTGTGTGTGCGAGAAGGAAAAACGTTTCAATTCGTCAGCCCGGGACGTTCCCTAAAATCGAACGGTTTGGAACACGATATGCGCACGCGAAGTAGACGGCGCCGTCGCGGATGAGCACGGTGAAGAGCGCGTCCGAGTCGCGCGGGCGCGTGCCGGGAAGGAAGACCTTCAGCTTGGTGTGCTGGATCGAGCGCGCGGCGGTGAGCGCGAAGATGATGCAGTCGAACGCGAGCTGGCCAGACCACGCGATCGTAAGATCTGAAGAGGTCGAGGTTTAGACTCGTCGGTCGGAGGACATCGTCAGTATGCGAGGGATCTTACGAATAGCTCTGTCGACAAGGCGTGAGCATATGAAGAAAAGTGGGATAGTTCGGATATGGGCTCACTGGTTTCGGGTGAGTATGTACATGCATCCTAGGCTGAGACCCGGCGCGGTCAGCGTAATCGTTGGGCTGTGATCGCCGAGAATTGCCCACTGTGATACTACTTCAGGAAGGACGTTTAAAAGGGAGCAGAGAGTTATACACACCAAGGCGATGATGACCACTATCACAGCCCATGTCACCAAGAATATAAGGACAGCGCGACTCCGACCATACAGCGCGTACGTGCGCATTATTTGGAGTACTGTCGTGGCTTCATTGGTTCAAGCTGTTTCGTGATAGATACGTAGACGTACCGCCGACGATGATCTGGAGTACGACCGCGAATATCTGGTGATAAATGTGCCAGACATGGCACTTGTCCTACGCCAACGTGACTTGAGCTTCAATACCGCGGCAGCAAAGAGCAAGAAAAAAAACCACGATCGACAGACCTGATCAGACGGAGCCCAGTACGACTCGAACACGATAGGCACGAACCCCAGCAACGACAGGTATCGGTTCACTAAGAAGAACGCGGAGGGCCATGTCAGCCTCCGTCCCCAGTACCGCGCGATCTCGGTCCCGAGCGTGAGGGCGTAGTCGTAGTACAGCACCGCGAAGGACACGGTGTATATGTACCGCGTTATGAAGCTGTACAGAGAGTCCGGTCAACGCCATATAGTCACCGGGGATAACAATAGGGGGAACGCTGATAAGAGGCGTACACATCGGTCTGAGCATGGAGGACTGCCACCGGGAACATCAAGGCAGGCAGCGGGGAGGGGGGGCGGACCCCGTCGTCAGCGTCAGGGCGAGCGCGCTGGGAGTCGTCGAGGGAGCGCGGTCCGAAGGGGATCAAAGCCAGGGCATGAAATAAGGCCGAGCCCTCGAAAAGCGCCGGCAACGACCGCGCGGCCGGGATAGAGCACAGCCACTTTCCCGCATTCTGGCTCCGGGTGCTTGGGTGACAGGCCTTTGACAGCGGACTTGCAACAGTATCGAGCGCGGATCTGAGACACCAGATTGTGCTTGCTGGATCTTGCCCCTGGACGTCATGATCGCTCGACCCGATACATAGTTTACTGCATACTTGCGTGCTTAACTACTCGAGCAGAGGAGTGGCAGAACTTGAGCGGACGGCGGGTGGAATGCGGGTGGAATGCGGCAATCTGGGCCTTATGCGGGGCGTGCAGATCTCTGAGGGAATCATGCGCCATGGCTACCGCGAGCGCTCGAGACAGAAGAGGCAGATTGTCTTTCTGCAATACATGGGACATTCCGTACACGAGGCAATCACACGGCCGAGGATCTCCCTCCTCCCATCACGACTGCACCGCCGTTCAGTAACCCCATCACCGAAGTTCACACCGAGCTTAATGCTCGTTCAAGGAAGCCCCCTTCCAGCATTGATCGCGTTCGCCACTTGACTCGTGTTCGGGCGGTTGAACGCATACCTATCGCGGGGCCCATCGATATATCTCAGCGCGCCGTTTCACTAAGAATACCCCGACCTGAAACTAACCTTTCGTAGCTATCAATGTACAGTTCCCTCGTGCTGCACGTCTGCGCGAACGCGGGGTGCGCGAATAGCCGTTCCAGCCACGCTCTGAACCTCGTCCCCTGCGGCATCTCGAACCCGCGGTACTCGTGGAGAACGTTGGTCGCACGGAAGAGCCCTTTTGATCCCGTCCCGTCAGCCGCATCACCACCGGCAAACAGAGGGAGGGAAGGGGGGGGGACTCACAGGGCCCGGCTAGAGCATCCGTCCAGCCCAAGTCGCCGCCTTCTTTCCATAAGCCCAGCGCCGGCTGCGACTCGGAAGGGGTCTCGCGCTCGGTGCGTTCCAGGATTTTGACCAGGTCTTCGAGCGCCGCGTGGAACTCTTTGCCGTGCTCGATCTGTCTGTCGATATCTTGGGCTTGCAAGAATCGGTAGAATGCAGGCACGAGCGTGCGCGAGACGTGGTCGGCCTGAAGACGGACGAGCGCGCGTGCGTCTATAAACGGGAGGCATCAAGGGACGTTGATATAGATGGCCAGCGTCAGATCCGCGGGGGGGGGGACCGAGAATGGATAAGGGAGGCGTACAGGGATCCGAGAGGGGAGGAAGTAACGATCGCCCGGTCTCGTTCGCGGCCAACCTACACAGGAGTAAAAACGACCGTGGTTTAGCAATGTGAACGGGGCCTGAGCGGAAGGATGCGATACGCACTCCTCGAGGTATTCGAGGATGACCGTACTTTCGTTCAGGGCCCGCGGCGGGTCGTAGGCGTTCAGCCTCAGCCCGGGTACGAGACCCTTGGGCGAGACTTCGAGCAGGTCGGCCGGCTTCTCGTACGGATCGACTTCGTCTGTGCGCGCAGATGCGTGAGTCACGATGGAGAAGAGCCGCATTCCGTGCAACCGACGGACAGTACTGATATTCACGAAGGTCGCTCCGATGAGTGCGTTACGATGCGTATAGAACGGCTATGGCTCGCCTGGTAGTCGATGCCCAGGTATTCGAACGCGACCTGGACCCAGTCGATCTGATCAATCGTCGGGAGCGAATGTAAATCGATATAACCTGTACCCAGACACGCTGCACGAAGGGACAGAAACAGCTTCCGAACAGCACGATGCCCGTGCTCGCAGGCGCGATGTCTCTCCGCAGTCTGGAGCGCGAGCCCCGTCGCTTTTTCGTGATACTTCTTCCCCGTGTCTTTCGTCTGCGTCATCGTAGCAAGGCCCTGGTGTTCAACGGCGAGGGTTCGAACACGAGGAGATGGCGTTTGAGGGAAGGAGATGTGGGAGATTCGTCAGGGTCAAGATGCGGGACAAAGGGGGCAGTATCTTTGCAATAGGCATGGGCCATCGTGGTGACCTTGCCCTTTGTTCTGTTATGTTAACTTAGCAGCTCGGCAAGAGGACGATGACGTCATCAAGGAGCAACTGCTCTTCAGATCTCCAGAGGGCTTCGGAGTTCTCGTAGTGCCTTGTGGCCAACCATGATCACGATAGCTCATACCCCAATCGGTGCTCAACATCTATATACACTTCCCACATTCATCGACATCAACACAGTGCGATCGGAGAGGCGGTCATAAGGATATCCTGGAAGTCCAAGGTCATTCTTGAACTTCCGAGGACATCTTTAGAGGCGTCGTGTCCGCGTCGTACACGGCGGCTCTCATGACCGGCGATGAGAGGCTTTCCATCCTGACGGCATCACGGTTCGCAGGATCTGAGCGCACCGACCCCACGATCCCATGGCTCTGGCCAAAGGCAGTCTTCTCTTAACGTTAATTAGATTCACCACATGATTGTTCGAGCGGTTCAGCGCATGCCTATCACAGAGGCTCGTCTCAGTGTTTGGTTACAAGGCAGCGAGGTCCGGAAGGAGAGGGGAACACATACCTCTCGTAGTATTCGATGTACAGCTTCCTCGAGCTGCACGTCCGCGCGAACGCGGGATGCTTGAACAGCCGCTCTAGCCACGCGGTAAACCTGGCGTCCCGCGGCATCTCGAACGCGCGGTACTCTTTGAGGACGCGACTCGCTCGGAACAGCCCTTCGGATAAAACACGTCGGCGTCAGTCGGTTGTCTTCCGAAAGCGCGCGGCCGGGGGGGGGGAGAGAGGAACGGGTCTTACAGGGCCCTGCCAGAGCATCCGTCCAGCCCAGATCGCCGCCTTCCTTCCACAACCCGAGCGCACGCTGCGACTCGGCGGGGCCCCCGGCCGTCTCCCGCTCGGAGCGATACATCATATCGATCAGATCTTCGAGCGCCGCACGGAATTCCTTGCCGTGCATGATCTGCACGATGGGGTCTTGGGCCTGCAGGAAGCGGTAGAAGGCAGGCACCAGCGTGCGCGAGACATGGTCTGCTTGGATGCGCACGAGAGCGCGAGCGTCTATAGACAGGGTCGTCGACGTGGTCAGCACCACGGGCATCATGGAGAGCGTATGCAAGTCGAACTGCGTACAGGGAGAAGATAGGGGAGGCAGCAGAGATCGGTGGGTCGTGTTCGCCGCCAACCTGGTGGAAATAACAGTATCGTCAGCGTCGAGTTTCTCTGATGCCTGATAGAGAGACCGCAAAGCGTACTCTTCGAGGTAATCGAGAATGATCGCGTTCTCGTTCAACGTGCGCGGCGGGTCATAAGCGTCGAGTCTCAGCCCAGGTACGAGGCGCCTTGGCGAAACTTGGAGCAGATCGGACAGTCTTTCGTCTGGTTCGACTTCCACTGTGGACGAGACGTTCGAGTCAGTGTGTGTCCGTGACCCATGCTTGTACATACGGACCGTACTGGGCAGTGCCACGTTCCAAACATGAGAACGTTACACTTGTATAGAAAAAAGAAAACGAGCTTGCCTGGTAGTCAATCCCCAGGTACTCCAGGGCAACCTATCACCCAAGATCGATCAGCGGACTTTCTCGTATCGAGGTTGGGCATCGCAGACGCACCCATATGCGCTGCGTAAACGGGCAGAAGCAGTTCCCTAACAGCACGATACCCGTGTCGGTCGGCATAGAGTGCCTCTCCGTCGTTAGAAGCGCGACCCCGGTTGCGTGGTAGTAGTCCTTCTGCCCCGTCATGGGTTCGATTTGAGATAGGGTCGAAGAGGTATCTGTGTTGGCCATGTAGTACTCTTAAGCTTGCGGAACGAGTGGCTTAGTAGCAGGAGCGGTGGTTTGAGAGACCAGGAAACGAATCAGGCTGGCTATTTATCTAGACTGGAACTTGATCCATTGGAATATCAGTCAACTGCTGTGGCGAGCAAGAATCGAGTACACCAGTTCTCTGAGCCAAAAGTAGGATAGAAGTAACTCAATAGCATAGCCGGGAGACGATGAGATTAAAAGCGCGAGGCGAGGTCTAGGGAGGATGCCCATTGTGCGTGAGAGCAAAGATCAAGTTAACGGCAGTCCTTTCTTCCGAAGACGAGCAGCTAGATGTAGCTTGTATAGCAGAGTCTTCAGATAGTAAGATAAGGTAAGATGCTATCAAGGCAAGGCTGTGGGTACCATGAAGAGAGTTTTTGAAGGCGTTAGGACGCGAGTGGCAGGTAAGAGCTGAATTTAGAACATTCTCCCACAGACACTGATTTTCGTGACTACTGATAATAGCGACTATTTGCGGCGGTTTTTCGTGTGTCTTGCTCATGATCGATAGTTTGTGCTACTAGTAAAATAGGGCTCGTGCAGTTTCAACAGGTCCTACGGGTCTTGCTAGTTGAATGAAATATTCCTGAATATCCGGGACATTTCATATCTGACCGTGTAAACGCTATGACTAACCGTGGGATAACAGAATCTCCCCCGGTAAGCACGTGTCCCCTGGGCTGCGGATGAACTTCCCACGGCCCCGAACTTGAGGGTGCCCCTGTCCCCTCCGACCTGGCCGAACTTACGGTCGTAAAAGTACAGTACTGGTAGAATGCAACGCCGGTCACCCACGATGTCCGCCGGGGCGCACCAACGGGTTATAACCGGTGCTCTGTGTTTTATCCATACGATGATGTCATCCTCCTACTGAACTCCGTGTATGTGTGTCCCATCAGTCAGACGATGCTTAAAGATCATCAGCTCGAGATCCGGGCACCGCTTTCTCATTCAGATCCCGGATCCGTGTGCATATTTATCTCGAACCTTGTTTGTGTTTGTTCTCATCCTGTTTGCACGCTGGTAGATTCTGTGGTCTTGTGCCATCCAACGCCGCCGTTCTGATATGGTCGCATAGGCAGACGCCGTCTGATATAAATGTACGCACGGCGCTCAATAGAGGTCAGTCAGTCACTCGCTCTTTGATCCCATTCCCGCATGACGATAGCCACGATAGCGACGCAGTCGATAGCAGATATTCAGCTCCAAGGGTGCGTATATTCACGCCGCTTTCTAACTGTCGTGACTGACGTGCATATGCGAGTACAGGGATGTGATGCGCTATGTGACGACAGCGGGCGTCACTATCCTCTTTTATGATTATACTTTAACCTTTTCGACCGAGGTCGATAGGTACTGGGGCAAAGGCTTCAGCTGGGCTTCTTTCTTCTTCTTTGTCAACAGATACATTTCTGTGGGACAACTCATGTGTCTCATCGAGGACTTCTGGAGAAGCAGTGAGGTATCAAACTCGGACGCTATCCGTCTCCGTGGTCGATGAATGACGCTGCTCGTGCGCTCTAGGCGGAATGTAACATCCTGCAGGAGTATCATCAAGTCATGGCCATTGTCATTCAATTCATAGTTGGGAGTAAGTTGTGTCGTGGGACTTACCCAATGGCAGGTGGTAACTGACTCCTCAGTTTTACAGGTTATGCGCACATACGCGATCTACAACCGCAGCCGAACGATACTAGGTGCCCTTCTCGTCTACGGATTTTGCCTGGTGGGCCTTGCGTCCGTGAGTACATAATCGCGGTGTATCTCCTCGTGCGATAAAGTGGGTTGTAAGTAACCAATCTCACGAATGCCAGTGGGCGGTTCTTGGCAATCGCAATTCCACCTCTGACGATATACCTACGCCAAGTGCGGTGGTAGGATGCGTTAACCTATTGACAAAGCATCAGTAAGCTGTCTACTATATTCAACGGACGAAGAAGCCGAAGCCGATACCTTTCCAGATCTACAGGTGAGCATTGCGTGAGTTACGCCATCACGTCGAGAAGTGCTCACGCAATACCCCAAGATCTAGCAATCACCTGGTCTTGCTTGCTCGCATTTGACAGCACTATCTTCGGCCTCATGTTGTTCAAGTATGTGCAGAGTGGGCGGTTTCTAGCACGCGGAACGCTCATGCGCGATGGTACGACAATGTTCATGTTTTCAGTCGAGGAGCATTTGCTGACCTAAAGCATCCCAAGGCACGTTATACTTCGGGTGAGCGATGTGAGATCAAGCGTGAGCTGGTGTACCACTTATGCACACCGATACCAGGATCATGGGGCTTACACATGTCTTCACCGTAATTTCCTACCTTGTGTTTCCTTCCGCATTGCGAGGCGTAGGCTCCGCGCCATCCAATTTTCTGTCCACAACGCTCATGTCTCGGCTCATGCTGAACATACGGGACCCTCGGATTTACTGGCCTCACAGCACTACAACGGGAGCGGTCACTCGCTCCATAAGCATGGGCCAGGCAGGCACTTCGGCGCCTGCGGAATCAGCAACCGAAAGTGATCAGGACACCATAACGCGTCACGTTGCATCCGGTACGTCGCAGAGCTAGTATTCACCCCCCTCCCCTTGTGCGCATCGCTCAGGTGTCGCCGGTATTAAGCAGGGAGGTATCGCGGGCTTGACGTCGAGATGCAATCATTTGCCTTTGTGCCAACACAGTAGCATGGCGTGCACGACGGAGTGGGGGTAGTAGTTCGTGCCGCCGGTGTCGCTGAAGGTGAAGAGGAAAATGCATCGGGTCATTTATTTCGTTTGACAGACGGATCTGTGACATACACGCGGTTGTGTATGCTGTACTGTAGTAGCGGTAGAAAATACAACGATTCTTACCGCACGCCATGGTCGCCAACGCGTTTGCTGCGGAGTCGCAATTCTTCTCGCCTCTCACCGCGGACCACGGCACGCACGTATGCCATGGACTCGCTCATACCGCATCCCAACAAGACATCTCGACGAAGTTTCCCCATCGTGCTAACGAGCCATACCCAGTGGGCGTCTTATCGCCCACGACGATCAATGTTCTCAGGCGGAACGGCGCCTAATCTACACGCACCATCCTCATGGCCTGCCTAATCATGGGCTCTCAAGGCTTCGCCCAAGGCTCGACGCTCGTCGAGTTACCTTGGAGCGTCTGCTGGCGCAGATCCTAGGCAGCGGTCGTCCGCGGACACGACCACCAATACACCCGCGACTGCCTACACTCCGACTCATCCATCGTTCATCAGCCCGACCGCGGGCGCACGCTCTCCCACGTGAAGATTTGCTGAGACCAGGGGCGCCCCCTGTGCACGATGACTAGTGCGGACGACGGCGGCGGAGGCAGCAAGTACGCAAGATGGATCCCCAGTCCGTCGCCTGCGGGCTCTCGGGATTCGATGATGCCAAGTATCGTCGGAAGCTTAAAAGTGGACGTGGACATTGCAGCCCTGCTCGGGCAGGATGCAGCTGACGGTGCGTGACTCTCCTTCCAAACGGAATAGTTGTACATTACTCTGACGTCGGGCTTATATATATAGCTCTCCTCGATCGTACTGCCGAAAGCTCAGAGCGTGTCATCCCTCAGTCCTCCCGCACGCAAGCCCATGCGTACCCAAACACCAAGTCGAGCCACGCCAGTATATCCACTGCACATAAAGCTGCGACGTGGTTACCGATCGCGAGGTCGGCTTCCAGCGGACCCGCCGCCGCT